GTGGTGGTACAGAGTTTGGTTGGTTGTTTTATTGGTAAATATACCAAGACTTCAACATAGACATGCTTTTTTAAGAATAACGTTTCCCGGTAATGTTTCGGGTTATATCTTACTTCATTTACCAAACACTGGTACTTAAGTTTGGAGACGTTATATTGTGGAATCAGATAACACATTAACCAAAACTTGGATATGTAGGTCATTCTTATGTTGACTTTAATGGTCCAAAGGTATTTTAGTTGCCACGGAATCTCATATTCTAAGTCCTGATTCCTAATAAAATCGCACTTGTTTGCTCCTGAGGACTCACAAATTTTTTTAATGGTCCGATTAAAATCAGTACATAGTGAGAACCGTAATCAGTATTATTTATTTTCTTCTGGTTGCTCTTCAGTTAATGTAGTGGGTTGGTACTGAAATCACCTTCGAATTTATCCGTCTATCTTCTAAACACCAATTTCCAGTTATATTTATTGACTATTCTTATATCTGATTATATCAAGGTTAAAGTGATAATTAGATAATTGTTTAGAAATATAGTTTTTCTCAAATAAATAGTGAACATGGGAATTTCGAAATACTTATGCGACAGTTTGCTTATCAATTTTAATACTAGGTATATGTTTGTTTATTCATACAATCAGAATAATTTTACAGCAACCAAGTTGTTTAGTTTTATTACACTGTATGACATTACAAAATCTTTTTATCTTCTTGATGTCTTCGTAGAAAATTATTTATCTCTAAAAAAAGTAAATCGTGGTTATTCTATGAACCAATTAGTTTAATATTCACACTTAACTTATCTCAATCTTTAGAAAAATTCGTGTTATCACTTTAATAAAGAGAAGTATTGCTGTCAGCTCATTGACGCGTGTATTTCAACTGAATGTATACAGGTTTCAGTCTTTGAAATAAAATCCTTTGAACGTTTCTCCTAATGAATTGTTTATATATGTATATACATATATATAATACAGGGAGTGAGTAAAAAATATAACTTACCTTTATATCTGGCACTTAAATATTTTAGAAAACATCTCTTCCATCGAAATCAATTTTTGGACCTTTTAGATAGAGTACTACCCATTTACTTTTGAATGTATTAAGGTTCAGTAATTGATAATGTTCTACACTTGCGTTAATATGTCAACTTCTTTTAATATCTCTTGATAATGAGAGATGATCACGATGGTTATTTAGCTTTTCAGATAATATTCCATTGTCATCTTACCCTCATATTTCATCGCTCTACTTATAAAATATTTAGGATAATCGTTTGTTCAAAATGAGAACTTAACTTGTCTCGGTTCTGTGTTTTACTTTAATTCTGCAGCGAGATGGCTAACTCTGTTTACGCGTTGTTTAGTAACCATTGTTACTTTGTTGATTTATAAATCTTTGAAAGTATTAGCTTTACGAAATGCTAGATGTCACATTGTTGTCTTATCGTTTTTCAACTAAACAGTCAGAGAATTTCGGTTTATGATCCTCCTTGAAAAATTCGATGCCATCTGATATAGTAATTATACTTATTAAAAGTTTGCACAGAAAGGCTTTTGAAATTACTAGTTGTTATCTAAATGTTAGATGGAGCGATTTATTTCATAATTTCACTTAGTCTCAGGAAATTTAAATGAAGTCTCCAATCATCTGGGAACTGGTAACCCTCATTACTATTTCTATACATTACTGTAGATCTGATTAAAGTATGGAAAGAGAAATATAATTCCAAAATCTATAGTTTTATTAGTATCTAATAGAAAGCACAAATATAAATTCATACTTCTACCGAAGATTTATATGTATTATCTATTAGCCTCCTGTATACCTTACTCGACAAATAAAAGACACTGGAACTTGGTTTCACTTTTACCAAATTACTGTGATTAGGTTAATTTTTAGATGTAGAGAAGATTTGTGGCACAGTAGGATGACTTTTGTCAAGTAGCCATCTCTTAACTGGGTAGTCTAGTTGTGATAGTTTCATTGTCCTTCTAGTCAAAATCATCAGGAGAAGCTTCATGATTCTTTACAAGCAGAACCCAAGTGGAAATAGTGTTTATGCTTTACATATTCTCTTTATATTTATTTATATGTATATACCAACTTATGTTCACATCATTTTTGTTCTTAGTAAAACGTCCGACTTATTTTTACTTATTTATTGTACTCAATCATTCATTGTACCACACTATAGTCCCAATAATAATAATAATAAATGCCAATCGTTTATGCATATTGTTGATAAGATTAATAAAGTGAAATGAGCTACAAATTCTCTTCTTATTTCTTTTTAAGAATATTTGGAATTTTATAAAATTGGATTTTAGCAAATGTCAATGACAATGCCTTTCTGTATTGAAATTTCAAACTTTTTGACTGGAATATTATCGTGTATTTATATTTGTATGTTCTTCTTAAATGGAAAATTAGTTACCGGACTAGGATAAGCACTTAGAAACTTTTTATTGTTTTTTTCTAAAAATATGTGAAGGAACTTGTAGGCAAAATGATTATTTGTCTGAATTTCAAACACTTAGTTATTAAAACGTTTGTAACTGGAAATTAATGCACTTTGTCTTGATATGAATTAGATAATTCATCATATACTAATTCACGTTAATTGTGTACATTGAATTTTAATCAGTATAGATGTTAAGTTATTTATTAATTACGAAAATTGGCATTAATTTTAGTACCTGGAATCTTGTTGTGTTGTTGGTAATCAATACCAATTATCTGTTGAGTTTAATGTAGAACGGTTTAAAGTATCCTTAAAATTTGCACTTTTTTAAAGAGTTTTAAGTACTTGTTGCTTAGAGGATGTAATCTATATTATCAGCTTTGTATCATTCCTAACACATGGAATCTGTGTAGATAGTTGTCGCTTTTTTGACCATTCAAATACTGATATTTGACTATAAGTGTTTTCAAAGTATTACTATTGTACGTTGGAACCGCTGAATGAGTACTGTTGAAGCTAGACGCATGGTTGTAAATCTTCACTGACTGAGGTGGTTGAGACGTGTATTACATATGTCCGACAACCGTCTACCTTGACTCATGATATTTGATGACCTAGGAGCGAGTTGGAAGAAAACTAGGGGCGTTCAGAATAAAACTCCGCAGCGGTCCGTGAGGTCATTGACCATAAGACTAAGCCATGTTAGTAAATTCTGACTACCTTGCTGAGGTCCACTCAATTATCATAACTAGCTGTTTGAGACGAATTACACGGCTCAGAATTGATTGCAGTGATACACACCCACTCATTCTTTATCTTTCCTAAGATCCTGTGTTTTAAAATTATTTTATCCCTTTTATGCATCTTTCTCGAATCATAATCTCTATGCCTAATTTCTTTATACTATCACTGATACTGTTGCTACTTTTATGGCTTTGACATTCATTTTGATAACATTTTCTCTTTGTGACGTGGTGTGGGAATGTTTACTGATATAGTGATGTACCAAATTTTACATTGGATTTGGCTGATTAACTTATTGATTGCTACGTTTTTATCAACACTTAATCTCTTTTTCTACTGCAAAAAATCAAGTACTATATCGGATTAGTAATTTTTCAAGAGATTGGAAGTTACTAACAACTAACGTTTCTGTTGATCACTCAATATGTATCTCAGATCATAGTGCCAAGTTTTGATACCACGGTCTTTACTTCCATTGAGTTATGCTTTTGTCACTGCACTTTATCCGTTGCAAAGATTCTTTAGACAATCGTTATTGGACGTCATTGTCATTTTTATAGAATTGTGGATGCGAAAGTGCTTTATATGCTAGTGGAATATAGTAGGTAGTGACATAAGCACTTAGAAATAACCTAATCTTTCCTAATTTCGTTCCAAAGATCATAATGTTTTCTTGGTTATGCGATTTCGAATAGAGAACCTGTCGACAACACTAGACAATTAAAAAATGATTCATCTTTAAATATTATGTTCGTGGGATGGTATTTTCGATTTTGACAATACTCATCATCAAAATATCTTGTAATCAATCCGATCAACAGTATAATTGTTTCGCGATGTAAATGTTAATTCATCAGGTGACTACTAGTGTAGTGTGTGTTACTGATGTCGATATATATAAGTGGTGTGTATCATCCATAGAAAGTGAAATGCCTGGAGGCAGAAGGTTATGAAGATCAAAGAAAAGAGAATGAGGACAGAGAGTGATTGGTGTGGAAACGAAGAGACAATTGGGTCTGAGACGATTGATTAACATTTTGCAAATGAAGTATTTACTGTGTAGTTCTCAGATTTTACTAAAACGTTCTGTAATTTTCTATACAAATACATTTGATTTTCCCACTTGTGTTCTCGTTCACTACACTAGTACTGAGGAAATTATAGGTCTAGGTTGCGACGCTTCTTTGAGACTGCATATCATTTACATGAAACAATTTACTATGTTATGTGGTTGACCGTTATTGATATCCGTGTGTAAATATTTCAAGAGAATGGGTAAACTATATACGATCTTTGTTATGCTAGATCATCCTGGATGCCATCTAATTTGTTGTAAATATGAATTTTCAGAAATAATGAAATTCCACTAGGAGTGTACCATGTTAGAACCTCATCTTAGTAGATATCGTTTACCAGTTTATACCGTATATTTTTCGGTGATTTATAAACTCTGAAAACAATGGCTCTTCAATACTTTCTGTTGAAATCGCATTTTCTGAGCTGGTTGGATTAGTTGTAAGGCTTTCGTTGTCTTTCTACTTTCATACATATATTAGGGATTCAGATGGGACGTGTTTCTTGTTCGTTATACTTTACTTAATAAAATTGAAACAGAAGTTGTGTCTTTTAATCTGGAAAAATACTTAATCCAATCATACTGCTCATCCATATACACTTTGAGTTGATTTAATTTTATTCGTTGCATTATTGGAAAATTTTATTATTTAGTCAGTTAATCAATATTAATTACTTAAGTGATTTACCACAGATTTTCTTATATGAACTTTTAGCCGCTCTTATGCAAACCTCGACAGATTTTATATCTAAATCTAAAAGAGAAAAATGCTGGAAATCACGTGATGCCTTTTGGGAATGTGTTACTGGTGTAATCGCAAAAAATTCAGAACCTGATGACAAGTTGGTAAGAAAACAATGTACCAAACAAAGAAAACTTTACGAAGAAATGTGTCCACGAATATGGGTTAGTTCACTGTATGGTATTTGATTTTTCGAATTCCAGAAGTAGTTAGATTACATACATTCAGCTGATCTTACGAGTCTAAGCACAGTACGTAGCTAATTAATTATAATTCATTGTTTCCTTTTTAGATACTTACAAGCTCACATAGATGAATTATAATTCAAACAGACACACCACGGGAATCGACGTAAATATATGTTTTTTAGTCTGCCACATTTTATATCATATGGACAAAAAAACCAGTAAAAGATATGGCAAAGTGCTTCATTAATATTGATAACAATATTGGTTAGCTAAAATGAATGTGGGAAAACTTATTGTTATCTTGTGGACTGCATCTAGGAAGTGTACACCTTCCTATACGGCTCATTCAAATGTCTGATATCATATTTTGGTCTAGCCATCTTCACATTTTTCCAATCTACTTTTATACCGTTACGCAGGTTATCCGTCCTGTAAGCTGTCGAGTTTTCTGATTCCTGCGAAGGATCAATTCAAAAAATGACTCGGGTTCAATGAATTTTACCAATACATTAATTTACAGCCATTAGGTAGTCTTAATATTTACCAACCTTCATGTTTTTGTTTCTGTGTTTTGTACCAATGTGTGACTAGGATGTAATCGTGATGTTCTCAATGTTCTCTGTTACTGACTTATCACAGTGGTGTGATGGAAACACCGACGTGTTTCTCTGTAGTTTGGAGACTTAAATTTCAGCCATTAGGTTATAGTTTTTTCACTTGCGTTTTTTTGAGTGTATTGGTCCGATTGTAATGTTTCATCTGCGCTACAGTCTGCTTGCCGATTCGGTTACAAAATACTCTCTCTTGATAGGCACATAGCCCAACTGCTATGCATTTGAAAGGACTGAAAACAATAGAGAAGCTTTAATTGTCAGGTCCGAATAAACTGTATACAACTCGGATAATAATTTGAAAGCAATAACCTTGGATAGGTGAGTAATTCACAATGTTATGCCACGTTTGTACTTTTCACCCACTGGTGGTATCCAGACATGTTATGTCTGACTTTCGGAACACATAACATGTTCATGCTCATTTAGCATTCCCTTACTGAGAGGGTTTTCTTCTGGCATTCAATCAAGGCGAGGTCATGTAAAATTGTCATTCTTAACATGATCAGCAGCATTAGTGATCTTTAATGAACTCAATAAGGCATTCTACAGTATTATCAATCTCCACTGATGGAGCTACTTGATGTGTGCGAAATTCCCATTTACTGGCTGTATACTTCAGTCATATGTGCTAGATAAATTTGAAATACGAAAGTAGGTTTCAAGGTACATGAATTTTAAGTCGTTAATTGTTCATTTTAATCTTCCAGAAGATGTTGATCTCCAGCATAGGGTTATTAAGAAACCAGAAGTTTGCAGTTAAAATAATCTACTACTATAAAATGATCAGTTTATCACAGGTTTATTAGTTTATTCTTTTATGTAGGCTTACAACTAAATAAGTGCTCATTGATGTTTATTATTCTAACTGATATTTACTTATGATGGGAAACCTCTTTCTAACTAAACTTCCTACAAGCAATTGTACTGTTCTGTTCTATGTTTTAAATATCAATATTGTAATGACATCAGCGTTTCTAAAATTTTGATCATTAAATTTTGTAACTTAATCTTTCGATGCTGAAGTGGTGGTTTCCTCAGTCTTAGTCTATTTTAAATATTATAGCATGAAACAGTGTATATTGCACTTCTACATTAATTTGGATGAAAATACTTTTTAACTTATAAATCATCAGCAACATTTTAATCTTTTTTCTTTATTCAATTAAGACCGTAACGGAAGTTAGTATGATTGAGTTTCGAGATCTCTTAATTATTTAACTTCACTTAGCAACCATATACACAGGTTCATATAAATAGACTAATAATCACTACATGGTTACTTGTATCTTAGTAAATAGAGTGAGAATTGTACCAATTACCCAGTAATTGAAATGAAGCTAAACTATGGAGGTTTCAAGAGCGTTTTTCTTAAAGATTATATCATTTGAATTCACTTGGTATTGTTTGCTTCCATCTTCCAATTGTTGTTCAGGAATGCAATTGATCAGTCTCTTGTTGGCATATGTACATCTTGAGCGGATTACTTCGATATTACCTTAAGTCACAAGCTTTGTAATCAAAGATGGATAGTGGCTAGTGGTGGAATCTAGGACGCCCGTTTCGTCCTATTTGGGACTCGTCAGCTGTATCTACCTTCACCCGTGTTGATATCCACTCTGGGATTCGAACCCAGTACCGTTCGCTTTAAATGCCATCGCGTTATCAATTTAGCTACTGAGTCATCATTTGGTATATTCACTTGTTCAGTTGATGCATTCATGTATATCTAACTTAGATGCTATCAGCTATCTCGATTTAACTTTGAAATTGATATGAAAACTTTAATGGCCAATACTTTCATGTTTCAGTAAATAGGTCATTAGAGTTGGTTTTTGTATATCGTATTCCTCAATTGATTTAGGTTTTACTTCTTAAGTGATTAATCATCAAAATAAATTTGGGTTATTTATTTTTTTGATAAGTTCAACTGACTTATCACTAAAATGATATTTCCTGAGAGGTTTCTTTACTCATTATGTAATGAACGAAAACACAGGTGGGGGTAACTAACTGTATTTTAATGCAAAATTACAGAGTTGTTTGATAAAATGTGAAAACCATACTTTCACTACTTCATTTGCAAACCCTTCATCAGTTGTCTCAAACGTCATCGTTCGTTCATTGCCATAACAATTACTCTCTGTTCTCGTTCTTTTCGATTCGATCTTCCTAACCATCTACTGCTAGGCATTGTACTACTAATCAATATACTACTTATGTAGACATAAGTAGCATACACCACAATCATAATTATTTAGAGGTTTTAAGACTGTTTTCCAAAGAAGTTATTTCGTCGATTTTTAATTATACTTATTGTTTAACAATAAATTACAATCTACTACTGAGCTCAGAACATATTTTTTGTCGTAAAGTGAAACTATCTGAGAAAACTTACCATAAATTTATATCAAAGATCCTACACAGGATTAAACCTAAAATTTGTTAATCACGTAGTGAATACAGTACCATTCAATGTGAGTCAGAAACGAATGGTTTAAACTTTCTAACTTCAGTCAGTTAGTTATTTGGGGCTATAATCATTCATTACTGTCATAGATAACTGCTTTCTTTCCTGCCTTATTAAAATCCTCAGTGGAACTTATATAAGTGGATATTCGATTTAATCACTATTCAGCACACTATCTTCTATTTAGATAAAAGATTTGTTTCAGATAAAAACTCGTAAAGTGACATATTTTTTCACTGCTTTCGAGTCCAAAGCTGAACAAACAGGTTGGTTCCTGATTTTATTAACCGATTTCAGCGGTCACAAACTGTTCTCAAATAAACTTTTCATATATTGTCAATTCGTTAAATATTGAACATAAAGCCTTCACGATTAACGATTTAAATTCAGATGCAATTATGAGTAGTCAAAGTATGAGACCTCTTATTAGATTAGTTTATATTAACAGACAACCTGAGTGAAATTTGTTGTCATTGATATATTTATTTCATCATTGTCTAATTGTTTCACATCCAGCACATAAATTGTGACTGATTCTCTTTTCTTTTTTATTCATGGATGGTGTTTTTTGTTAGTTTGATAATAAGCCTATTTGTGATTTAAGTCTACTACATAGTTTATGGGATGTCTCTCAATTTTTTCATATCCACAATAATCGAAATGTTGATTGGATACTGAATGGATAATCAGTGTTATCTATGTAGAGCGAACTTTCTTAACGCAAATTTGAAGGACATTTCTTTAGATATTTCTTTAGATAGACCTTAGACAACCATTTAGACTTTATGAATTGCTTTTATATTCAGATTGATACTAATCAGTGATGAAGTTTTCATATTCACAATTCCGAAGAATTATATTGTCCACATCATAAACTATTGAAAACAAATAGCCTCATAGTATCTATTTATTTCTTCTCTACTTTTTCTGAACATACACATTTTCAAACTAATACTTTAGTACCAAAAAACATAAATTTCTAAAGTTACCAATTTAATAAACATACGTTTTCTTTGTTATTTTTTTTCTTTTGATTTTACTAAAGATGCCCAGTTATAACTTTAAACAGTTCACTAGTTGATTGTATCTGGAAAGCGCCATGTGTTCGATCTTTATCATAGTGAATAATTGGTACCGTAGTTTATCAGATAATTTCTGGATACCTTAATTTAAACTTATGTGTTGTTGTACATGTTAAGTTGTACAATGTTAGCAAGTCTTAGAATATGACAATAATAACTGTTTGATAATCTTTAGTTCTCAGTGTTATCAATTAGTGATAACGATTTGTAGAGAAACAAAAAAACTAATGAATACATAAAAGTAATAAATATTCCAACTTTTATGTTCAATTAATTGTCATATATATAGTTATAACTTGTAGCCTTGTACCCAATGACGCATAAACCCGTACGAGCAGTTTAGAATCCTTATCGGTCTTTCTTCCTGCTTAGCCCTGTCTTTTGAGACCAGAACACCGATCTCAACCTCCGCGATAGGAATCATATATTTCAAATATACTGGGTTTATGTACAAACCAAACAGATCACATCGTACCATAAAATAGAAAATAACATATGCATAAGATCTAGCCAAAAAGGCCGTGTTTGTGGGAGACTGTAATTAATAATCTGGACATAACTTAAGAATGGTAAATCGTATAATGATAGTCTATAGGTCAAATAAAAGCTTATAATAAGCGGAATATGAATATACATAGTTTGATTAGTTATCAATTATACAATAAAAATATATGTATAGCATTAGTCCGTGAATAGATCCCAACTGTTACCATTCGTTATTCTCGTCGGGATATCATTTATTTATTTCAACACATAGATATTGGTACAAAGAGGCACCAAATACATATGCGCCACACAAATCTCATTCGATATGTGTGGGGGCTGTGATACTGCTGGATGCCCGAACCGAAGCACGTGGTTTTCTTAGGGGGCCACACCCGCAGCCTTCGACCTGAAGGTCTGATCCACAAGGCAGTGGAGCATCGTAAGGAGGTGCATTCCCATGGAAGCCGGTGACCAACGATTGGTTCATACGCCATTGTTCCCGCAGGATACTGGAGCCCATGTGCACCAGTGGTTTGGAATCCGGTTAAAGCGCCGAACATTCGCTTTTCGTCCTCTCATTTTCGTAAACAACACCCCCGCCACGAGAAGGCAGTGAGTAGTACTTCCCTGGCAGAGGCTGTATACGCGTGGCCATGTGAGAGCATTTCGAGAGGGAGAGCGGACTCTCCCTACTCTCGGCCGTACCAGGGCATTTGGGGGATATTATATATATATATATATATATATATATATTGGACTACATTACTGTGCAAATGCATTTCCTTTATATTTCTTTTTGTGTTTTCCTCAGGTCGATTTTTTCGATAAGAAGAAAGATTTTGAACTTTTCAAGGCCAAGAAATTTGAGAAGGAGTTGTTACATAGCACGAGTTCACAGAGTTAGTGATTGCACTTAGTGCGTAATTTAGTGTATACATGAAATTAATTTATCCCGGATTTTCATAAATATACATTAAAACTATTTCCAGAGAACCTCAGTTTTTTTTAAAACTACATATTTATATAATAGCTGAAATACAAATGTGTAGATATCAGTGACTCGGTACTTAAATTACAAGGCAACGTGTTCGTAGATAGGGTCAGGTATGATGGTTGTAAAAACACATGTTGAACCATGAGTTTTATTTTACGATGTACTAATTCTGCATAAAATATTTAGAAGTTGAGATTTTTAAAAAAAGATTGTTTTCATAGTTGCATTTGAGTGTTTCAATGTGTAGTTCGTCAGAATTGTGATAATTAATGAATCTGAACTAGACAATGTTGAGAAACCTAATGTGTTCAAATAATATTTCCATGTTAATGTTAACAATTTTAAAATATCAGCTATCCATCAAACCTTTAATAATTGATAATCTGGAGACGTGAGAAATATTCGGTCGTGGGATTAGTCAGTTTTAAGTTTGAGTGAAATTCTTATAAGTATTCAGAAAAATAACGCAAAAAATTACTGCAAGTTTCTAAAAGAAAAGTTAACTTTTGATCAAAAAGTACCAGGTCGTATTTCATCGATAAACCCATATATTATAAGATTTGCATCTATTTCTCTCGTAATATGAACATCTTTTTTCATTGAAATGAAAACAGATACTATCAGAGAATTCAGAACCGGTTATTTCGAATGAATGTAGTTTATTTTATTCGAAAACAACTTATTTTTCGAAAAGAAAAAAAGTATGTGAAATTTAATTAGTTACTTTCTTAAATTCTAATTGTTAGGGTATTTTGAAGATTTTATCACTAAACAACACGAATCGCAAAACCATTGAGAAATGAGGAATACCGTCCAATCCAAATATAAAACGTCAGAAATTCCTACTCACTTCTTCCGATGGTATCCAATTAAAACTTGGTTTGAAGCAAGTCGGGCAACACTCATCTAATGATTCTAAATATGATGATTAACGTTTTCATATCTCCCACCTTGTATCATACGACCATTACTAAATATTATCAGTGTATAGCTCTCTCAGTCTCTACTTAGGAAAATAATGGATCAGAACGAAGCTTCGTCACTGAACTCAACACCACGTCTTACACTATTTGTGCAGTCTCAGTTACCCAAAGTCCCTCCCAACTGTACTTACAAATCCGCATAATGTTAGGAAGGAAGCGAGATCTATCTATTCCTCTTAGAATGTTTTGCATATCTGCAGATCAGGTTCCAGGTAGTTTACAAGTGCGATTGTACACTACCTGAAGATATTATTACTTTGTATTCACTATTTTTAGTAGATTGGAATCCAGAAAACTTCTGCATATAAAGTGAAACAGTCGTCAACCCAATATTGCTTAATTATAACAATCAGCATTTTGAAGATATATTAATTTCACCGAACCTTTTTTTGTGATTCTTTTTCCTCTACATATGAGTAAAAACTTTGCTATTATTAGAAAAACTGTTAAAAGCATATATGATATGTTGTACAATCTTCCAAATCATTTATAAATGTAAAGCACGTTGATTATGTAATTTGCTTACTTTGTTTTATGAATACGGAATGTCTTCACAAGAGATATATTGTGTGAGTCTACCAATAAATATTACTGCTTTCTCGTATTGATGTATTCCTACATGAGTTCATGCCGTTGGATCCAAAAACGAAGACTTATCTTTCGGGTACGTTGAGTTAACTAGACATAAGCCAAATAATAAGTGAGAAATGTTGACGGGCGCGCACTACTAGTCAAGAATTGGCTAACCGTTCTGCAGAAACGAACATACACTGTTAGTTATAAATGCGATTTAATTTTCTGAAGAACATGTATCTATATATCTGCGAATAAGTTGTGCTTGCATTTTCGATTGGGTTAGCCAATAAAAGTCTCCTACTCATTTTTGATAGTACCACTCCGACAGCTAGCTTGGAGACATATACGAAGCGTGTACACCAAAAGAATTCTACTTTTCCTATTTTCGAGACCCAGAATTGATAAGTAGTGAAAGAAATCAACAAAAAATTATCAATAGTATTCTTTTTATTTCACCTCCAAAAAATGAGAAAAAAAAGAAGTCCCAGTTACATACTAGTAGAGCTACTGCTGCTACCACTACAAGGAGTAGTAGTGACAGTAGCAAAAAATACCAAATAACTGTACTATCTATGTTAGATATATATATATATGAAGTTGAGAAATTTAATAAAATTACCATTAATCATGATTATAAGACTAGTTATAGAAAGATAATCATTATTGGCAATATTGCTCGTTAACTTTGAGATCCCTCTCCATAATAGAAAAAAAAACCGTTGCATGTATACGATAGTAATTAGTAAGTAGTATTCTTGAAATATGAAGGAAACTGTATATTCAAAGCGAGAAAGAACATATCAGTGAAAATAAACTGATCTGTATGATTATGTATTAGAGTAATCAAATAATGAGTAAGGTTGTCATGAACAATAACGATCGTATAGTTAAAACAGTACTCGTTCTTGAGCATAATAGGTTGCTTTAACTACAGAGAGCAAACAATAAAAAAATGATTATTTTAGTTTCTACAATGCATATTATTAGTAAAGAAATTAATGAAACTTAATGATCAGTAATACAGTTTATTATCATTATCGAGTTGTGATATCAGCAGGGTTCAAATTAGTTGAATCAACTAACATTTTAGTGATTATAAAATATATTTTTTCTTACATTTGCAAGAATTCATTACACGCGCTGTATGAGAATAAATGTATTTCTTATGTTAATATATAATTGTAATAAAAATGAAATGTTTGCAAAAAATACTGAATCATCAAAGAGAAAATAATAAGTATTATCTATATTTAATATTGAGTGAATAAAGTCCAGTTTCGTTTTTGTTAACTGGTCTCTGTTTGTTCTGATAATTCTTTATACAAGGCTACAGTGAATATTGTTAGAAGAGGGGGAAGGCATGAATTTTTACAAGATGAATTGGTAGTTGGCAGTAATTTGTGTTGCAGTCTGTTTCTTGTTACTGTCGTCTTCATCAATACCACAGCCACGAATACCAGAGAATTCTGTTCATAAAAGCACTTTTTAAGATAGTTTCGAGTCATATACACATACAGAGAATAGTACACGTCCTGTATTGATGTTATTGTTTGAACATGTAATTGAAATAAAGTTAACAATGAATTAAAAGATAAAATTTATTCTTAAGGAAAAGAAGCACACAATGTGAAGGTGTCTAATCAATGGTTTACTCTACTAATAAAATCATCACAAACTTTCCACAGTTCTGTTAGTAATTATAAATCCATTAAATCCTACTGTTGTTTTGTTTCCCAACAAACAAGTACACATTAGCAGTTCACTGATGATCAATCAAAGAATTAGAAAAGTTTGATTTTTTTTTGGTTTTTCTAATAAATCCTTAAGATAAAATGTTTTCCAAAGATTTTTTTTCAACGAAAGAAATTCAATGTATAGAATGGCACAAAATTATCAACGTCGAGTTTATTTTTTTATTTTGTATGGAAATAACTATAAATAGTTGGCAAAAATATAAGGAAATAAGAGACAGGAAAAGAACAATTCACAGCAGTCTTTGAAGATTAACATAAAACTCCTATCTATGTGTATGTGAATTGAAGGACGAGTTGACGGTGCTTTGTTGTTTTGTTTCTTATAATTGTTACATTTTACTAAGGAATCCAGGTTTTGGAATGCCACTTAGACTGCCTGTTATTGTGCCAAGTATCGATCGTGTTGGACTACTTCCTATATCAGGTCGAACAGCTTGAGCAGTTTCTTCCATCTATAATAAAAATAGTGAAAAATTTATTATTCTTCTGCATAGAACACAAGGATCTTTTTAATAAAAGAAAATAATAAAATTCAGCTTCACTCAAACAAAGTTATATCCATCTCTTTAGGAACTAGTTTACTTAATCGTTATTTTTCCTTAAGGTTTATCATAGACTCATTTTAAAAACTAACTTTGAATATTGTTGTTAGGATAGTCGGAAAAATATACCAATAATTATCGTGTTAAGTCTATGGTGGCCTTGGACCTTAAATGTACATTTCTTGTTGGTTGATGTTTATTTCACTTGTTAAATATTTTGTAAATGTTGTTTCCTATTTTATGGTACGATGTGGTTTGTTTGTTTAGTATATAAATAGAGTATGTCTGAAATACAATGATTCATAACTCAGAGGCTGTGACTTGTGTTCCTGACTCAACTGGCTGGGACAGACTGCGAAGCGGTACCAATCAGGGCACTAGGTCGTCCATACGTGTTTTCCGTGTCACTGTAATCGATCGATCGATAAATACGCTGCCGTATCAAAACCTTCAAGTCCACACCCGTTACAACAATTGTAAAGAATATATATTGGAGATTTTACTTGTTGAAGACTTGTTAACAAGTTTATCATGAAATAACAATCATGGTTATGTTTTCAGAAGTTTATTTTTCTAATTGGAAGCAATAGTTTTATGTTACATGATTATTACATAACATAAATAGTATTATCAGCGGAAGAAGTTGAATGATAAACATTCAATGAAAAGAATATATTATGATGTCAGAGTTACTTTTTCTTTAATAATTAAATTTATGGTTTTTTTCTTTTGGAAAAGACCGATTGTTTTCTGTACGTGCTTAGATTCGGTTGGATATTATTCCGTCTTATTCTTCTTTGTGTAAACTTCATTATGTACATTGTGAAACAATAAAGTAAATAGTTTATACTGACAAATCATCGAGTAGTAATCAACATTATGTTTACCTGTCTAGTGCTTCATGTTGATCGGTATTTACATTTTGCTAGACATTATACAAGGAATAAGATGAATTTTTTTGAAACCCTTGGAATTCATATAAAAACATTTTACGTGTTCCATAGTTTTAAAAGTTTTTTTCAAGTTAAATATATCTTTGAACAGGGAAAATGTTCAAAAATATATATATATATATATATATATATATATATATATATATATATATATATATATATATATATATATATGAATTACCGTAATAAATATCACAAAGTAAATAAGTACATTGAAAGAGCATATAAACTAAGAAAGAAGAGGTATAATTAGTGTACACTCTAATTCTGCAAGTAAAACAGTGAGGAATATCTCATCATACTATACATGATCTCATAAATATGATTGAAGCCATGAATAAATTATCACTTTTTGAAGAAGTATAGGATTCTGGGAATTATCAATATGTTCATTTCGAAATAACCTACCTTTGGCTAATTCATGATTAAAGGCAAGATAGGAAGGTAGTTCTTAGTAGCCTAGTATTAATCCATATAGGTTATATAAACTTAACCTAAATCTTTTCAAGTGAATGAACTATAGATTGTTGTTAAGGTTTGAATATAGCTTGGGCGAAAGGATAATGTAAGAGTGAGGTCAGAATTGAGAAAACGATTTTTAGGCTTCAGTACAAGCTTCAAAAAGGAATAAGCTTTGTTTTATAACGCGTAGAGAAAGCAGAATAAATAAGTTTAAGCAGCACTAGGAATGCTTAAAGTGATAATAAGAAATTTTTTACCACCAGAGAGTGGAAGTGATGATGTAAAATGTATCAAATGCTCGGTTTTATGTAACATGCCAATCCTGTCCCTAAGTTCTAACTTTGAGCCCTTGACATTTAACCTTTACCCTAAATGCACAATTCTAGCCAGGAATAATGATGAAACTTCACGAAATCTGCGTCTTCATGAGTTTGATAGGACAGATAATCGACAAATATTTGGAGGGATTTAGATGTTATTGCTTTTGGATTTACAGGCAAAACAATCTGTAGAAAGCTTAAAAAAATTCATAATTAGAATATATTTACCCTTTATAATTTTGTTGTTTATTTCCCTTAAACTATCCGTTAACAAAAGCTACCACCTGACAAACAAACAGCTGGTTAAAATTCCCGTTTGTTTCAAGATAATCTTTATATTACCATAAATTGTTTGAGAAATCCTCGTAAACTCGATTACAATTTAATATCATGGGATAACCGTGATGTTAATGACAGAGGAGAAATTCTCAATTGTGGGTAAAATAATTCATGGCACCAAAAAAACTTAACTATACCCTGAATCTTGAGGATATAATTACACTTAATCTAAACATAAATTTCTGAAATATCTGAATATCAGAGAAATTAATTATTGCATTTGGAAAATATTCAACAAGTGATTATTATTAAAGTTAGACGTTAACACCGTTGGATACTGACTTAGTGGTCTAATCTAGAGGTTGATCGTTCGCGCGTGAAGCCGAAGAACCTTCGTCCGATTCACACTAGTGAGGAGTTCCATACTAGGACAAAACGGTCGTCTAGTGCTTCCAAGTTTCCAGTGGTGGTCTAACATAGATTAGTTCATGATTTAAATGAAATTCAACAATCTCCACAACGCCTTACTGAAGATTACCAAACAGTAAAATAAATTTATATCAAGAAACAATCACAACTGATACTATGTGAAAATGAGATAGCATACTTGAAGTCTTTGCATAATTGTTTTGTAAGCCATTGTATCCAATGCATCTGGGCTTATACCTTGAAGTTCAAAATCGGAATACATTTTCTAAAACGTAATATTATCAATAGAAGAAATAGGTGAATCTCATAAATACTTAATTTAGTAAATAACTATTTGCAAATACAAATAGTTAATATAGAATTATGATATAAAGTATTTCAGAATATAAAGCTACTTTAAAAGCTGTTATAAAGAAAGTTTTAATAAACTGTCTTCTCATCGTTTAAGTGATGTTTCTGAAAAAAAGCCTTTTCGAACCTTCAGAGAATTATCAGTTGGATACAATACTGATCAGTGAATTACTTTAAGATGGATTTCCTTTAAGATTGAATGAGGAAAAATAACTTGTTGAACTAAAATAAAAATGACGACATGTATAGATCATTCACTTTAAGTGATAGACATGATGTATGACGAATTGGATGAGACGTGATTCCAATACAACTAACCCTGTGTTATTATCAAGCTTACAGTGAAATATGGAACTAAACTGAATAAGCTGTTTCCAAAAATGAAATCTGGCAGAAGAAATAAAAAGACGCAAATAAACTTTCGGAAGAAATAGAAAAAATGTTTCTACCAGTAAATTTAATATCTATAAAGCATTCAATAAAAGTCAGTTGTAGATTTATTGACATTAAAAATTGTCTAAGTAAAGAAAAGTAGAACGTTATTTTTAATATCCAGTGTATATGAACACCAATTCGTTTGAATTCTTATCACAATATAATTATGTTTATATGACATAACACTGTAGGTTGTTTACTTTACAACAACTGCTTCGTTAAAAAAATACCAATTAACCAGTAAGAGCAAAGAAAGATAGAAAAATTTCAACATGACAAAACTAATATCTCTGGAGGTATGAATGTTAAGGTTGAACTTGATAATTTTAAGTAAATTGAGCATTAGGTAGAAAGTCAATGCAGAACGTGCATTGCTTCCTTTGTACTATTTAAACTTGTACTAATTTAATTCAGCTATTTAGTTACTCTAAAGAGTGGCTTACATTAAGTTACGAAAAGTCAGAAATACAACTTTGCTATTCATTGGGATACAACAAAAATATATTTAAGAATATCTGTGGACAAAATTTAGACCTTTTCACGTTGGGAGAAACACCTAATATTGATAACAGAATAAAAAAGAAACAATCAGTTGAAATCGATAAGAATTAGTTGCCTAGGTGGTGATTGTAAGAATAGTAATAATAATACGATAATACTATGAATTATTCTATGTAGATTTTTAGTTATTAATAATTTGTGTATTGTTAGCTTACTTGTTCGAAATGAGGAATGTAAAAGTCTGAAGAATAGTAAGCGTAAACTGGTAGTCATATGATGTAAAGAATAAGCCATTTGACAAATAATAACTATTGCCAAAAATATATAATATATAACTTCATATCAAAAACTTTCAGTAACACCCAAATATTACGTAAACAATATCATTAAAAGTCAGTATGTGTGTGTAGAATGACGTTAGAAGTAGGTAAATTGCTTAATAAATTATTTATTATTTCAATCTGCATAATAAATATTAATAATAGAATGTGCTCTATTCAAAAGTGAATGAACATTTTTAAACAAGAGAAAGAGAAACAAGTATCCGATGTTTAATAGTGGCACATCGACTTATAATCAATAGAGATATCACTGACAGTTTTAAATAATAACAATAACTTTCGTTTATGAGAGTTTATATTTTTCTGTTATTGATATTTAAGACTGCAACTGATCAGTTTCCATTGTCATATATCAATGGTGAGCAGATTGCCTCAATAAAGACATTTAGTCATAATTAGTTATTAAAGTTAGAGAACCCGATTAATCGAAGTTTTTAACATCAACAATGAGGGAATAAAAACTCTTACTAATAGTTGCACATCCGTTGAACATGTTAGTGAATATCTGGGCATACTAACTTAGTGGATAACGTGTTAGGCAATTGAACTAATAGGTAGAAAGTTCGATTTTCAATATGAGAATCAACATTGATATACAAGCACATCCAGCTGAGGAATCCCAAATAAGATGAAACCAATGTATTGTTTCCCACTATTAGCCACTGTCCAACTTTAATAATCACCTTAACTTTTATCTAACAACACAACTTAGTGGTGAAACTCAGGAGACATTTTTCAACTTTTTTTTTAAGAACTTTATTATTGAATAACTGTATTGTAAAACTTGGAGTTTCTAACGTAATATCTTTTTATTCCTAACGTTTACTGGTTTTAAGAATAAATACATTGAAAGATAGTCACAGCGAGAAAATAATGATATTCAAGATTCCGGTTATTCCAATTCAGAATAGATTAGTAACAGTATGATTGAACTAACAACAAAATGTATACAACATATAATACATGAAGATCAACTAAAACTATTAGTAATATACTATAAATTTAATAAAAAATGTGATCATGGGAAGAGTTTAGTCACCAAAAAATCTTGAATAAACACTCCAGGATCATCAAAATGGGCTAATAGGAAATCTCCTGACTCGACTTACAAGTACTAATGTATGGATTCAAATGTAAAGTATACTGTAAACTTCAAACAATTAGACTTATTGGCTAATAAATTTTTCAATAAATGTTTGTTTGTATTGACAATTAAATTTTGAATTTATTATTATTATCAAATAGATTCTGAATAATTACTGTTTAAGACAATTAAATTCCGTGATGGTCTACGTGTTTCGATTTCCTTTCATTATCTAATACTACTTTTCTTGACAATGAAAGTTACCAATCTTCCAGTAGTCTTTAAGAATAGTCATCATAATTCTTTGGAATATTTTAAGTAAAAAATTCTCATGATTACGAGAAATGTTGTTTATTTATTTATTTGAACACATAAATATTGGTACGAAGGGGCACCGAATACATATGCGCCACACAAGTCACTTGATTTGTGTGAGGGCTGTGAGACTGCCCTGGTTCCCAAACAGAAGAAGGTGGTTTTCTTAGGGGGCCCCACCCAGAGCCTTTAACCTAAAGGTCTGATCCACAAGGCAGTGGAGCAACGTCGGGGGATGCAGTCACAACGATTGGTTCATAAGTCATTCATTCCTCAGGATCCTAGAGACCATGTGTACCACTGGTTTGGAACCAGGGTTTTCCAACTCCCCTAGGTGGACTCTCAGTGTCCACCAACTAGGTTAAAGCGCTGAACATTCGCTTTTCGTTCTGTCAATTTTGTAAACAACACCCCCGCCACGAGAAGGCAGTGATAAGAACTTCACTGACAGTGGCTATATACACGTGGTACGTGAGAGCATTTCGAGAGGGAGAGCGGATTTCCCTCACCCTAGGCCGTACCAGGGCAATTGAGGACCGTTTTGTGTACCGATGTAAATAACTAATTTATAGAAAATAAACTGTGTTTTGTAAGCTGAATTATTTTATTATGAAGCTTCCTTCGTGAATATCAATGGTAATAATAAATCCAAATTAAAGAAATAAGGAGAGCACGTTTGTCATTTACTAAATCATTTTACCATGATTAGCTAGCGAGAAAGTTTCAAATTATTTATTTCCATTTAACAGTTGAGGTATTTGATATAATGCTTAAAGAATACGTCTAACGGTCAGGTCTTAATTGATTGGCTAATAAGTGACCAACAAACTAAGTTCCCCAAACTGCCTGTGATATTGGATTATGTTTATTTTGTTTCCATGTTTGTACACAAGCCTATTATTTTGATACATGAAAAATCTGTCTACATACCTAATAGTCTTGACTCCAATTTTAAGTTATTAATACGGTCTCATAAGTGGTCGTTACTCGACAACATTTCATTTTGTTCATCTATTCAATGATTTTAACAATTGAAAATGTTGTCTCATCAAAATACTACAGTACTCAAAATTGTATACTTAGTAAAAATGTGGCAGTACGTTAGTCCAAGCAATGTATATACGCACAATATATCGCTCAACAGTAATAATCTAAGAAATAAAATATTCTTCAATTTATTTTTACATAACAAAGAAAAAGGATTTACTCACTTTAATAATGGTAGAAAGACATGTGAATTGATAAGGACTTAAAGCATTTCCTTTACGTTCAATAAGCCAATCATTGATCATTCGTGTTTGTGTCATATACCATGTCTTTTTACAACAAAATAAAATTAAAAAAAAAATTAATTTAGAGAAAAAAAAAGGAAAAGATGAATAATCATGCAATATCATGGAGTAAACAGATAAAAATCACTTTGAAATGATTTTTACCTAATCTAAAGATAAGACATCTCCTTCCTTTTTAGATGAACATTTTTCTAATCGAATAAAGATATAAGTGGTTAGAATTTTTCACCAATTTTCAAGAAATATCCTTTAAATGTAAACATGAAATAAAAGCAAAAATATATTATGTCTAAGTGAACTTGAATTTGTTAGAGTATACAGAACAGATGAGAATTATTATAGTGTTGTTTTGAAGTTTTAAATACTAATTGTTTCAGTAGTAATAGACTATAGTTCTTACTTTAGTTAGACAGAATATACAGCTCAAACAATATGATTGTTATTTTTTTTGGATCCACAAAGTATTGAACGACTGTAGTCTGACCCTACTGGAATTACATAATTATTTGAACTGAAATGAAACCTCAAAAAGAACGTAACACTAAATTGATCCAAAGCATCACTGTTCGTTACAAATACATACATATAAGATAGTGAAATAGAACTTTTCTTTAAAGCAACTTCATTCATTTCAAGTAATATGAGTAAATAAAGCACAAGCTGACTGGAGATCTTCTCTAATAAAAACAGAAAAACAAGTACACTTGGAGAGCTATTATTATTATTATCGTTATTATCCAGACGACCTGAAATGTGCTACTTATTTTCATCTTATGATTCATTAAACAGAAACTTACGTAAAAGCTTACATATTTTTGATTATCAAGAATATCTGTACACTGTTCTATACTTTCTTTAGACCGTTATGTCTAAACAGAAGTGTAGATTGTAAAGTAAACAAACAATGGTCACGGCCTCGAACCATCTATATTTATCGTGACAAAAACCAGCTGATATATGTTTATCTTTTAAATACGTATATGAAAAAAGTTATCAGTATTAAAAGTTTGTGGACACTACTAAGTTTCATAGTTTGTATTACGAAATGATCTTGTAAAACAATGTCTGAAAAAGTGTAAACACTGGACAGGCGTTTCATTGTAGTATAGGATTTCTCCTTAGTAGAGGGATCTACGATTTTGTTGGTGATAAAACTTAGGACACAAAAGATCTCACGGAGAGCGCTTAACCACTGGCCTACTAAGTAGATGTTCAGTGATTTACTTCCCTAACTACAATCAGTTTGAGCACTATCATAAATGCTCGTCTAACTAGGATCAATTTTTAACGTGAACTATTAAAAGATTAACACCTTCGAACATTACTTTATCCATTGATTTAGTCTTTAAGATTTAAGCTAAGTTATTCTACATGTTATTTAATCTTGAGTTCTAGAATATCACAAAGGTATGTGAGTTATAAATGAAACTGCTGGTAATGATAATAGTAAGGTGAAGTTTTATGACTAGAAAACAAACTCAATCGGAAATGACCCTGCACTATTCTATGGACTAAATAATCAAGATTCTTATTCGTATTACTGTTACTACTACTGTTTTTAGAGTTTAATGTTATATGTAATTATAGTCAATATTCTACAGTTATTTGTTGTTCCCTTTATTGAAAATATTTTCAGTATAATTCTCTCCCACTACCGTATTTCATTTTATTCTAATTTTGACACAAAATGATATGCTAAGCGAGAGATAATAGAAAAAGAAACACTGAATAAATTTCTACCTAATTATAAATTAATTTTGACAAGGCACTGTACAATACCCACTCTATATAGGATTTGAAGGAGAAAGTTTTTTATCAAGTACAGGACTATGAATATGTTCACATGTTAAACTGAATAGGTTCTTTAGGATATGTAAGGTCACGTTCATACTGAGGTCAAGTTGAGTGAGATTAGTAAGTTTATGTAATGAAATTAAAATTTCCAATCGATTTGGAACTAAAGTATCCAAACACTAAAGTTATGATAAACTTTTACATCCCACTTTATGTGAATATAATGACGAAATATCATGTTTCTCTGAAATAAATTTTGTTTGCAAAAAAATAAAGTTCAATCTAATGGTGATAATATATTCATTTCTGACAAGAATAAACGGTGTAGCAATGAAGCAAGAGAAATAAGGTAGAAAGTTGAAGGCCTAATTCCACTTTTGGATACATAAGAAAACAGGATTGATAACTGAAGTGACACAAATACTTATTTGATAGGTAAGTTTCGAAGCTTAGTGATTGGATTAAATGAAGTGGTTACTTGAAATTTAACGAATCAAACCCTTACATAACTTCGGCTTCTTTGTTTCAATCTTCTCTGTGCAAAAAACGTATAATAATTACCAACTGAAGCAGTATAATAAAAATTCTTATTCTTCACATAGAAATGGACAGAAACCTAAAGCAATATTCTCTGCATGGTGTGACTGTGATTATTTATGCATTGAGTCACTTCACTCACTAATATATCATAAAATATAAGTGAAAAATATATCCATAAATTTATTTCAACTGAAATGAAAAAGTCAACCTACATACATAATGATATGAAATGAATTCAGATTTAGAAGGGACAAGACTGAAAAGAGATTTAAAAAGTAATAGGGATCACCAAAATTTGATTCTCTAAACTAATTATTTATGAATAATATATATATATATATATATATATATATATATATATATATATATATATACTGACATAATGGGTTACTGGTTTAAACGTTTGCTTAGAGTAGAATCTTCCTTGGTTATTTTTAAATTCTGAACCAGTTTAGTCATATACAATGAAGTAATATAAATCTTTAGAAAAGCAGCTTGTTATACTAGTAAAACTCGTTTTGAAGAAAACACAACTTACTTCCATAATTGATAAAATATACAGTTCATCAGAGACTTTTTGACGCATTTGTTCTAAATTGACACGAAGAAATTCAACATATGCTTTGCCAATTTCATCCGTAGGTTTCTTGGAAAAATACGGAGAAAAAAAAACAAATGAAAAAGTGACTACGCAGATAACATTTTATTCTGTTTTTATTCCTCCTCCTCATACAAAAAAATTCTAGAGATAAGAAAGTTTACTGTTATTTAGTGAGAAATGAATTCGCATTTGAAAGCATTAGGCATTATTATGGCACTAATAGTTTGAATTAAAAGATCACATATATCTCAAAGTCACCGTCTCATATTGTTTACAAAGTCATGAAAAATGCATACTGAAGAAGCAATGAGAACCTACCAAACGTTTCTGCATACAAGCTTATTTTAAGTAGTCAAGTGCTATAGTATAAAAACATGGCTCTCATCACCAGGACATATTTGAACGTTTTTATTTAGAAAATCGGTGTTTTCTGTGGGGCTTAAGTTCATATCATCTAGTGCTAGAGCTAAAGATGTTACCACCGAGTTACAACAGTCGACCATCACTTATAACAAGATAGAGCCATATCGTTTACTCACTAGTGTCAGCTAAATCCTACTAATAAAATCGCAATCTATCCATTAACATAAGGAATTTCAATTTATTTGAACTATTTAATATTAAACGAAATACAATACTCTGTTTAGCTACCAAGCTTAGTGACTCCTCCACATGGTGACTTGATCCACAAAATTTAATCAGCACTAAGGGTTGGATAATATCAAACCATTTAACATTAGTTAGTATGAGTGAAACACTTTAACACTAAACTTCTTCAAGTTCATTCAGGGGCCAAGATCACCGGTCATCACACAGAACTTATAAAATTCCGAATGGAAATGAGAATGTTTGGGGATTTACATACCGTTAATTCATTTTAAATGCATTAATAAAACACACACAATTAATCTGTAACCATTAAAAGCGGTAAAGTAGTTGTGCACGTTCTATTAACTCTTTAAGTTAAATCTTTCGTTTCAAGTATCCTATTTTTATGAATAGAATTAAAGGAAAATTCTGTATAAACCGATTGATTTTGAGTCATTCATAATTTACTGAACAAGCATACCTCCTAGTGTGTGTTTACGAGTAACTATGAAGATTACTACTAACTAATTTATAAGTACTCTTAAACACACCATACAATTCAAATTAAACAATGATTTTGCTTCAAAGTTTCATGCTTTATAATCACTTGAATAGTCTTTTTCTGTTCAATTTATTTTACTAGAAGTAACTTATCCGTAATAATGACAAGCAATTGAAATGCGCCATTTAAAAATTTAAGTAAAAATTGAATTTCAGATATATATATATATAGGTTTGATGGGGATGAACAGTAGAATTCTGAATGCAAGTTTTATTCTTTTAGCAGTCAGTCAGTTGAATTCATCTAAATTCCCAACAATGTACATCATTGAAGTTTGTGACTAGAAGACAACACTACAAAAAGAAACGAGAGACAGTTACAATGTAGTGTATGAATCTTATATGTGATAAATGGGAAAAAATATTTTAAGCACTCGAATTGGTAGAAACCCTTTTTTATTTCAAATAGATGGAAGATAGTGACTGTCGAAAGCATTTATAAAAAAGTATGTTTTCAAACAATCACAATTTGAATGCACATTAAACAGAATTACATAATGAGGACCAAATACAAATAGAAAGGAAAAGGTTTATTTATTAAAGTTTACTTGTATTATATAATACACTTTATAAACACTTAAATACATTTTGTCATTATACATGTCAGCATTATCATTTTTTAATTAATATATACAATGATACTCTAATTTTATTAATCATAACAGTTGATCAATATCGTTTTGAAGATAATCATTTCTGATTTTAACTACGTAATATGATGAATCATAATAATAAATATGAATTTGAGTTATGTTCTCATACATATAGTATATTACTTAAGCAGACGATATTCACAACTCGTTAATTAACTGTATTTATTTTAACAGTTATTGCTTACTAGAAATGATAATTCCCGACCGTTGCTGCTGCTGGTGGTCGGGTTTGTCTATCGTGATGAACCAGTCGAGCTATACTGGCTGGAACAGTCGTTCTTCAAGGTCCTACCATGCCAGATAGGTCGGTTGAAGAGCGGTGAGACTAAAAGTAACAAACTGAAGGTCCGAAGGCGAAGTCGTACTGCTGACTGTACAGAGGTGTGACGGCAGTAAGGTGTTTCCTTCAAATAGCCAGCATAACAGCGATGCTGCCTTCCTACAAAGAGGGGTGGGGTTAGAAAAGGTCGACCCTAAAAGTGCACATCTCTTGTTATCCAACGGATGTCCGTCTCCTTCAGTAAGATCTCTACAAGTACGAAGCCAACACGTAAATTAACCATAAAAAGGTCGTGTGTAACCAACACCAAGTAGTCCCTTGAGCACTGAAGTCACGCTCTCAGGTCACTAAGACCACCTCTAATCCAATTTCCTTTCCAAGTAATAGAAATTATATTTTTCCAATTATCAACACTGTACAAGTGAAAAAAAACAAAAACAAAATCATATGTTCGCCGAAACAAAAAACACAAGTAGAATGAATGATTCCACGACGTGAATGGAATAAAATTAAAGATGAAGATGAAAATTTAATGAAGTCATCTGTATAATTGTATCCTGGGATTTTGATTTTGTTTTACAGATATCGAACTATGAATAATTAAGATATTACTAACGAATACAAACATTATGATACAATACAAAATCATAAACATATAGAAAACAAAGAATATAAATGACGATGAGGGAAAAATATTTATATCTCTTTATTTATGACTATTTTATCGGTCTACATATTACTATTTAACTCGTTCGAATAGGATATTTGAAAACCAAAAGAAACAGTAAGTGCCAGTTTAAGCGATTAAATTGTTAGAGCATAATTTTTCCCTGAATATAATTATGTCACAAGTTTATTAAAAACAAACCGGAATATATATTAATTGACCTTAAGAGTAAAACAAAAATAATCTTGAGATTATTTTTTCTTGACCTAAATTATGTCAAAAAAATAATGAATTAATGATAATACGAGAAAAAGAATCTTTTTTTCAATTTTGATCTTCTGAAAAGTTATGTTCTCCTTTAAAGTATAATCTGCTTCATTCTTTGTTCTCCTTTCTTTTTGTTTTGAAAACTCTTCATGAATAGGTCAAAAATTTATGGCAAGAAACAGAAAAGGAAGGAAAGCTATTCAACATCACCTGTGAATAGTATGGAAAAAAATCCACTTACCACCAGTAAATAATTTTAAAGAAGGATATAAACGATAAATTAGAGCAAGAGAAAACAAGCTGAAAATCAAGTAATACAATAAAACTTGAAAATATTGGCTAAAATGATACACGTATATTTGACAGTGAGAATAAATGGGTGAAAGGTATTCACAACATACTCTATTAAGATCAATGTTAAAAGTTTTAAATCATAAATTTTGAAATAAACACAGTGGATATAGTTTTCGGATCATTAATAAGACTATAATAGTTCGTATAGATTAGAATTTCTGATAATCGAAGTTAGTACTTTAAAGTTTAGTTTTTTTTTGATGATGCATATTGTGTGAAATATATAAAAAGTGTGCAAAACTCAATTTTAACGAGCACAATTATTTAAGATATGATTTTACATTGAAGAAAATCAAATAGAAGAGGGCAACGTTTTGTAAGATTTGGAAAGCATAGTATTAAGTTTAAATAAAATAATGACGGTTGAATGAAAATTTTGGAGTTTTCCTCATGATCTGTACTTTTTATCTAACTTTTTGTTATTCAAATTATTTCCATTAGTTTAGTATTGAGAGTCAACAACAACCGTAGGTGATAAGTTATTGGAGTAGAATGGCAGCAGTAATACAAATGAGCATAAAATAATATCTGTTGCAATAACTTTATCATTAACATGGCTCACAAAAACACGTTATTATGGTTTAACATTTATAGAATTAAAACAGATAAAACTGACTGGCCGGATGTAGATAAAATTAATTATAATAATGACACAATAAACAAAGACCAATTACTACCAACTATTGTTATTATTCTCATGATTACTAATATTAACAATTTTCGTGTAGTAATTAAAATATAGACAGATTAGCATAATGTAAAATTTAATGATAGTATAATTAGATATATGACTTGAGTTCTAGATGGTGTAAACATATACAACATACCGGTTTTTAAAGATACACAAAGAACCCTGCTGAATACAAATGAGTAATTTGAAAAGATTTTTCAAATATTTCATCTTATTCATTTTATTATCATAAACTCTCGAAATGAATTACCATTCGATGACATCACAAGTGGATTTGGACTAGCAATGGGTGTAATATCAGGTTACATGAATCGTTGCGTAACAGATTGAGGTTTCGGTTACGGTGCTTCATCTTATTATTTAATCAACCCACATGTTAATTTTTAACTTATATCAATAGTTAAGTAAACCAAACAATGTTGTTGTAGATAACCTATGTACTTTACACTCAGTTACTCTCTTCTTTCGAGTCAGATCTCTGGGTTAGAATTATAGCACAGTTCGCAGGATAGCCAATGTATCATTGAAAAAACCAAATGGATACAACAGCAAGCAATAACAGTAAACGAATAATCCAATGAAAAAATTCCTTTTTCGACGACTTCACTTCAAAAGCTACAGTTGAATCTCTAACTGTTAATCTCTATATATCTCATAAATTTTAGACAGTCTCATAATTTAATTATTAAATATTATTTTGTCTTATTTATTATCATGAATTGCAATCCACGGTATTTACTCATTATATTATTTATCACACTTATTATTACAGACAATCATCACTCTACAGATGTTTACAAAACAAGTATCCAAAAGAAATACGAAAATCTTTTTTGCTGAAATATTTGTTTTATTTTTCCGAATGAGAATTGTGAGTTCTAATTTGCCGAACGATCGGTTATTTTGAAGTAACTCATGACTATTTAAATATTCACTAGTTAAACCTATCACGTTAAACAAAGAGATAATTAGAAAATCAATCAGGATAACAAAATCACTTTACCTATTATTAATAATTTAAGTAACATTATAAAGTTTGCATTCAGTGAGATATAGTTTTATGAAAAAAGGATATTGAAAAATCTAAAGTAGCTAGATGTAATCTATGATATATCAACAGGATTTATACAAATTAAATGCATCAATTGTAGATCCCATAACATTTTGATTGTTAACAAAGTAGTTTATAAATTTAAATAAAACAATCATTAAAATTTTACATTTGAGTATAATAAGTTTTTACTTAAATATAGTAAATAAATTAAGTTATATACATATGAATTTATTTAATATACTTACAGTTAATGATAGTACTGATGAAAGTAAAGTATTCACATCATAACGAGCTAGTTTCATTAAATTTCCTTCCAATATTTTACCCATTTTATCATTTAATAATATTGCCATTTTTCGCTGTACACGTTCTAAATTAGTTTCTGTTTGGTTTTGATATTCATGCTATTTAAAAGGGTAATTAAAACATACATATATATGAGAATAATAAATATATACTAATTGGTATAGAAAAATGTTTATATACATTTATCACATGACAATAACATACTACTTTTTTATCATATCCAAGTAATACATTATTTTAAATTATTAAATATGCTTATTTAGGAAAAAATGTATGTATGTAGATAGATAGATAGAACGCTAAGAATGAATGAATATAAAGTTGTAGTCAAGATCATGTTTTTGTTAAGATAGGAAAACAAAACAAGAATCTTAATTTTTATAATTAAATATACGTAAAGAAGTTTGTAGAATATTTTCAAGTCAAAAGAGAAATTCTTATCAGTACATCACAAAAAAGAAACATGTAAATCAGCGTTATTGTAAAAATAGAGTTTAAGTTATATTATCAATTAACATGAGTTAGTAACTTGAATTTAGTTTATTGACTTACAGTTTATCATAAATGATTTTAATAACAAAATAATATACGTCATGACATATCGATCATTTTCATATTGTAAACTGAAGATTTATTTTCTTTAATAACTTAAACAAGGAAGGCTTAAACTAGTTATGTCATTCAGTGTTAACTTATCAAAAGACTTTAGTCAGTCAGTAACAAATTAGAGCCTCGTACGTACGTACATCAGTTCGAGTTGCCATACAACATTAGCACAGAGATGCAGTTGTCGATTCAAATCCCGTAGTGGTAGAGGTAGTAAAAGTATAAGCCGTAATCGGAAACATTAGGGTTTGAAGATGTTATTCAAGGAGTATAATCCAGTGAAATAAATTTGGAAAGAGTAAAAGAAAGGGACATGAAGAATTCAGAAGATTAGAATTTGAGAGAACACAAAGAGTGGATGCACCTGCGCCATTGCCAACGATTTTGAGCCATATCATTCAACGTCTCTAACCACCGGTTGCTATCATCTCGCGGATCTCAACCAGGTAGTTTGCACCTACAAACATGGCTTAGTCCACTTGTCAGTGACTTTATGGTTTTGTGCCATGTTTTAGTCTGGCCGCTTCATCAAAAGCATTTTTTGTGAAGTCTTTTGAAGTAAAATCAAAAGATTTCATATAAAAACTGTTCAAAATAACAAGCAAATTATTTGGAATATTTTGTCCACATATTTGATCAAGAATATTATGAAATCATTTAAATAGATACAAGCCTAATGAGTAGAGTTTAACGCATGGATATGTACAACAAGGACATCACAAACATCTAATTATGCCACGTATGATAAAACTGTTAACCTATTAAAAACTAGTATGTCAAAACCAAACATTGAAGGAAAGGAGCAGAAAATATCGATATTTATACTTTCAATAACACAAATATGTAAAAACAAAGTTTTCATGTTTAAAATAACAACAATAAGACTAACCATGTCTTCCCCTTTAGTATCTTTTGTACATAATTTCAATATACTTGCTTTTAGTTCAATCACAGTGTTGATCATATTACAGCATTCATTAGGTAGTATAAAATCTGTGCCTTTCGATGAACGTTTCAGCCATGAATCAAAGCAATTTAAATTACTATTGAAAGTAAACAGTACAAATATTATTAGTTCTTTTACGCTTTTTGTTTTACAAAATAACATGTAATATATAAAAACGTATTTAATTGTAGCACTTATTGTAAACGATTCTATGCAACACATCTGTACCAAACGGAATGCCAATCAACCTATCATATGATGAGCTCACTGAAAGGTGATTTACTTTCTGTAAATTAAAGACTGTCATATGATCTATAAAGGTAGTAGACAATGAAAGTGTAGTATTTGTTACTTTTTTCAATGCATTGAGAGATTATCACTGAGACTGGGCAAAAACAATTAGATAGAGTTGGTAAATTGACTTATTGAGCTGCGAATCTTCATCAACTAAAGTGGTTGGATATGCGTAACACGTGAGCTGTACGATGACTAACCTGACGTTAATTGGTGGTAGGCAAATTTAGAAATGAAAGGAGGGTTAGGGAACTGGAAACTTGAAATCGGTGTATGGAGTCATTGATTGTTTAAACTAGGGGGCGATATGGTTCACTGAATTTTCAGTTGAGATTTAAACCTTGTGTATAATTATCACAGTATTGCATGAAACTATAATCTTCATGCACAGTTTCCACTACTATTTTTGTCATTATCATGAACATAAAACAAATAAAACAAAGGTTACTCGATGATAAAGTGATGGATATTCTAAACTTCATTTGTGAAAAGTTCTACCAATAATATTTACATTAATAAAAGAAGACTAATAGAAATGTGTATTCCAGTAAAATGTGTTAATAAAAAAAACGATTTCAAAATTAGTATAAGCATTCTTTTTAATTGTAATTTTATCATACTATAATTTCCTGAAAAACAAACTATACATTGAGAAGTAATGTAACTAAACATTGTCACATAACAGGAAATCAGATGATAAATCTTCTAGAAAGTTTAGTCAAAAAAATAAAAATGCAAATAGTCACCTTAATGTGATTCACAAATAAACAACGTAAAGAATATTCAACATAAAATTTTACAACTAATTTGCAATGCTTCACATTTTATTGTAAGAATCCAAAAAAAAAAAAAAACTATGCGAAAATTAGATTGCAACAATAATTACCCATTAAATATTATTAGCCGTGAGGATCTTTTAACCAATTTCATTTTTACTAACCCATTAGGTATGGTAGTGTGGTTTGCTGTGAAGAGTAGGAATTCTAATGTACTGGTGTTAAGATATATCAGAGTAAAGGAGAAGGAAAATGTATCATTTGAGGAGATATTTACACTTCAGCTAAGCAGCAATCAGTGTGGCCAAAGATTATGAACTTTTATGAAAAAGCAATGGAAAAAATCTGTATTGTCATCGAATTATAGTAAATAGAAAATAGTAGATACTATTGCAATAATCTAGCAGATAGATAAATAGATGGTCAAGAGAATATAAACAGATCTCCATGTTAATAAGCAAAGAGATGAACAACTAAGAAATTGCCTTCATTTTTGATATCAAGTGATTACAGGTAATTGATAAGGTTCAGGATCTAAGTTTAATTCTCGTTAATACTGAAGAACATAACAAGTAAATACAGTCTTGAAAGAACTGACATTTACTATGGTATTTAAATCCACGTCCCTTAGTGTTATAGTACGAGAGGATGCCGCTAAAATGTACAGGCGAAGAATAACCTCCTGTAAGTTCGAGATGCTTACGTGAAATGATCAAACTTTGTTAATCAAAGTCACATTATTTGATTTTTAATGTTGATCAAATTTAACCCATCACCTATAATCACTTAACACTATTAAGCAAACTCATTGCATTTAGACATCCAGCTATTTAAACTAGTGGTCACAGTGAAATCTAATTGATAAAATCTGATTAACATTAACGACGAGACGGATAACAATCCTTATAACGAAGTGAGCAATCAGTCGAAATTGCTTTCAATAAAATATTAATATAAGGGATTAGTAGGGTTGATAGAATTTTAATAGAAGTTTAAAACACGAAATAAGTTATGTTGCAGAAAATATATGATGTTATTTACAATAATAATAAAAAATGAAGTGAACTTGTTAATATAAATCTTCAATCATTATTTATCAAGCTACGACTAGAAAGATCAACTTAAGATCTTCTGCATAGGAAACAGTTTTCCCCACAAAAAAATCGAACTAACGACCCATAAATATTGTTAGACAGTAATAGAAAATATTCTGATAACTCTAGCTCTCAGTGATTGTCAGTTGACTGCTTAACAGTTTTAGTTAAATATTCGCAGAGAGATATAGTTGATGATGGAATATATAGTGTAGAATTGACAGAACAGCGAATGGTGATTGGATTATTGAGAAATATCATACGAAAAAAGCGAAGAAAAAAGTGTAAACTTTTCTAGTGAATAATAAAATAGTTATGATTAGTAAAACATGTCTATTATTTGGGTTAAAAAGAAAATCATAATTAAAACATGAATTTCACGATGAAAGAAAGGGAGAATAAATTGAAAGTTATTTAATACGAAGACGATTGACCTTTTAATTAATTTTAACAAAAATGAAAAGTTGAATTTTGAGAGAAAAAAATGAACAGAAACCATAAAAACAATGCCGCTCAGTTTACTTTACTATTGGTATTATTAATTAATTAATTGAATAAATATCAACCGTTATGATAATCATAAAAACATGTGTTTTTCTTCTACTGCTTATTTCTAATAAAAAATGAACGCAGAATGGGAAAATATACACACATGTACATAAAAGTGACTGACATTGACTGGAGGAAAGATTAAGCATGAACACAAAATGATTATATAAATAGATACAGATGATAAACAGAGTGAAAGAAAACTTAAAGTAGTTTTATTTATTATATGGATTAGAGAATAATAATCGTGAATAAGCTTTTGTATTTCATTAATTAAAAACTAGTTATAGTCAGGAGTATAATGTGTATTTTGCTAATTATGATTGGATATTAATTCGTCAGTATTTCCATTGATGATGATAATGGTAATAATAATAATGCTAGGTTTGAAGCTATCACAAGTTCACTTAATCGGCGAACGAGAACAAGACTCGGTGACCAAAGACCAGTAAGCTCGCTACTGATGCGTCCCAGCCCCACTAACTAGAGGGAGAAGTCCAAACTTGGAATGGGAAGTATATTCTGCAAAACAGCCAGAAACGAGAGATAACAACAAACACAATTCAAAACGTATACATACAGTGCGAAACCGTCCTTGTGGAGAGAGTTACCAAATAGCATACTGAAAGACGCAACGGACGAATAGCATTTAAGATATTTCCCAGTGGGAAATACGACATGAAGGTGACAAGAACGCCTTTGGCGTGAAAACAAAGAAATTCAAATTTTCTAAATTAATTACAAAATTAGGTCCTTTACCAAGTGAGTTCTGGGGAACTAACGTCCCCAACAAATAATAATCTAATTCCCGATGGATACAGGCACAGACTTGAAGATCAAAAGTATTGATATTAGCTTTACTCCTTTGCTCTCGATACACAATAGAGCATTCTATCAGTAGGACACAGTTAATGGACAACAGGTAACACATATAACCATGTTTGATAAACAATACTTTACTATAGTGTGCTATATTCAGTGAGTAAATATCCGAAAAAAGAAATTAATATAGAGTTAAATAAATATTTATGAGATCGAATTTACCGCTGGGCCGCAGCATCTATCATATCACCAGCCATCATTTTTAAACGATTATCCATATGTTCAGCAAATATTATATCAGGCCAGTGTAGTTCTCGAATAAAATTTTGCAATGCTTCTAACTTCCATAATAATTCGCTTGAAGTAACTGGTATACAACTTGTCATACCAATAGATGTTGGATTTGTTGCAGCTTGTGTAGCAGCACTGGCCGCTGCAGTGGCAGCTGCCATTAAACCACCTGTGCGACTTGCAACATTCGCTGCATTGGCTGCACCAACCGCAGCTGCACTAACTAATGAGCCTACATTGCCTAAAGCACCAACAGTTTCTAAAGCGGATGCTGCAAATCCTGTAGTGGTTGAGGTTGTACCGGTAGTACTAGATGAATCAAAACTATTTGTATTATTTTGATTGTTCAATTGTCCGTCGACACCACCATTAATAGACTGAGCAATTGAAGCTTCCATAAGATCAACATAACGTACAACTAAAGGTGCATATATTTGCGTTAGTTGTTGATGAAATTTTCCCGATTTTAATGAAACTAAAATGATGGAAAAAACAATATGTGTAAAATACATCTATAATGCAAATATTATACAAAGATTCACTTTTTAAAAAAAAGTAAGACTGAAGCTGTCAAAAATAATGAATACATACTTCGTGGTAAAAGCAAGTTGTGTAGAAACACTTAAGATGTTTCAACAATACTGATGCGATATAAGCACAAAGATAGATAATATCATTCGCTTAATTATGTGAAGAGAGATGTGCACAATTTTAAATACAGCGTTGTGTTTTCTTAAACAAATCATCGACTAGTGTGAAAAATTGAAGGTAAAAGCAAAAACTGATGTGTTCGAAAATTTTTTTTCTTTTTGACGTTAATCATATAGAAATATCAGTTTAACATCTGATTATCGATGAATAACCCATTGTAGTATATCAGATATTTAAAGAGTTACTGATATTCATTTGTTTAAAATTAAAACAGGAAGTGGACCGAAATGTATATCCTACAAATGACAATCTTTTAAACATGGTGTATTACATACTATTATTGGCTAAAGGTCTATACATGTACATAATTTAGAACATTAACAAATCGTTATTCCCGTTACTAACAGTTATTTTAAAACTGATAGTGCTTGAAAAGGTTAGGATACATAAATCCATACTAGAAATCACGTAGGTTTAAAGTGATTTCGAGCTAAACAAAAATTAAACCAAGTCTTGAGAAAAGCAAAATTTGATCAGCAAGAATCTTTATATTTAAGGGATTTGATTTATCTTCATGAGACATTTAATCATAAAGGTACGAAATTCTTGGTAGTCATAGATTCATAAATGAAGCGAAAAACACACAGGCAAAGCCATGGTCTTGTACGTAGTAGATCATTTAGCCTTCTGTTCGACCCTCACATATACAGGAACGTCGGTAGTTCAAAGTTCAAAATAACTGACCATCATCCGTATAGCAAACAAAGTCGTCAGCTAAAGATTACCCTTTTCTCACCTTTCTGCAGTTGTAAACATTAGAATAAATTAAACCAGATGCAATATCAAGTAGGCTTAAAGTAGCATGCATATATCAGACATACCATTAAAAAGGCATTAGGGGAATACATTTAGATATAAATAAATAAGCAGTGTTTTATGCGACAAATGACACCTTTAAAAATAATTTCCTACATAATATTATATTATCCAAATCATTCGTGTTGAGATGGTGAAGATTTGTAGCTCAGTTAGATTATTTTGATGGAATTTTGTTCTGTGAGCTGGATGGCTTGCTCAGAGAACAAAATTCCATCAAAATCATTTGTGTTTTTTAAATCCACGATAAACTATAATACTAGCAAAGTTGTGCTTCAATGATAAAAGAAATAAAGGAAATCTTTTTTAAGCAAACTATATACAGTGTAAATCTAACAAACCTAAAGAATTAAAGTTTATTTACCATATGAAGCCGAATTTGAGAACCGCCAAATTTAGACAAGATAAAGATAAATAAATAAAGATAAATATTGATCACCAATGTCTATACATAATACTGATATACGTCCAAAGATGACAAATATATCTTGAAAAAACCAAATAATTTATACATAACAATGATAAATAATACTGAATCAATACAAATTTCAGTCCTACTAGCGTTTAATAAAAAACAGAAATATATGAATGATATTAGAAGACGAAGATTATCAGAACTATGTGATATATTAGCGCAATACATTTCGAACAATCTGGTCACACATATACTTGTTAAGAGCATTTATATATAAAAATAAAAGGTCACATCCCACTTTCATTAAGGGGGGGCAAAAAAACAAGAAATAAAATAAGAACCCTAAAATTTTTTTTTTCCTTTTTTTTATTAAATATATGAATGAACCTGTAACTGAAGTGAAGTGAACACATACCTTCTGAACTTAGGTAATCATTCAATAGTTGAAATAATGGAAAACTATCCCAACAATCGGGTGGCATTGTTTCTAATACACCAACCATATCGGCTGAGAAAAAATTCCAGAACAATTCTGCATGTTCAGTTAGCAAATCTTGAAACCATGAAAACGCCTGGAAAACAATCATTAAAATAATAACAAGAAGAATAAATATATGATAAATATATACAGTGAAAAGAATATTTAAACAAATCGTTTATTAACAACGTCTCTACAAGAAAAGTCACAGGAATATAATTAGTGTCGAAGAGAAAAACATAAACGCATCATTCTATTGTGACCGATCATGAGTTTTCACAGTTGATTATCAATTAATACAATAAAATGACAGGATTAATTAGTAGCTCTTAGTTTTAAAAAAATTTGGTTCTTAAATGACCAAAATCAATTGGAGTGATAAACTAATTTTATTTAAAAAAGAAAATGAGTCTTAACGTGAAAAAATTACAATTTTATGATAAAGGTAGAAAATTTTCACATCCTATTTATTCAGAATACATGATCCCTATTCCTTTTATTTATATTTCCATATCATGGGTAAGAGGTAATAAGCAAGAACTTAAAAAAAGGAAAAGTTGTAGATTAATTTTGCACGTAAAAACAGTAATGCTGTTGTTTGATAATCAACAGCTTTTCAACTTGTGTTCATTGACCTTTAGAGAAAACATAAAAAGAGAGTAAGCAAAGAAACAAGAGCCTTTATATTTCCATCTTCACTTTGAAAAAAAAAGTTAATAAGCAGAAGATAAAAAACGCGATGCACGAAAAGAGAAAGAAAAAATTTGTAAAAGGTGTGTAAAATCCTTCAACATATTATTATGAATCATTGATTAGTAGCAGTTCAAATTTAGTATACAGAAGAGCAATGATGGAAATATTAATAGTTCTAATACTCCTATATTCTTCCGATAGAACAATGAGAAGACGCAGTTGGTCTGAGAAATGTGGTACATTTGTGCTATACATTTCGAACAATCTGGTCACACATATATTTGTCAAGGCGATTCGTGAAATAAGAAAACAAAATATTGGTAAGCATAGGAGGAAATTTATAAATAAAGTCAAATAAATATTTATTGCTTATCTTTCATCAAACAAGAAATATCAAGACAAACTTTTGTTCTACTAAAAACATGATTTATCATGAAATAATGTTTTTTAAATATATCCAAAAGGCTAAAACGGTTAGGCAGGTATGGGAGTTGTACGTTTTATCTCTTTTGAAGAATGATATAACGTAACAAACTATCTACCACGAAATAATCATGCAAAGTATTTGTCAAGTCAACGTATAGACATCCAAGTTTAATCAACTTCGAGAAACACTCAAGCTATACTAGTTACTTTTTTGTTCACTGAAGAAGTGGCTCACACTGAGTCAAGAAACGTCAGAAAATTTTAATAAATTTAATTTCTCTACTCATTGGATACTACAAATATATTATTTTAATAATTAAGAGTGGAAGTGTTTAATTTCCCTTTTCTGCATTAAACTGAACAAAAAACCTCTATAATCTAATAAAATTGTATAGTTGTCTTTCAGTTCACACCCATGATTAGAATATGAATGGTTCTTAACGTCATCCAGTTGACGACATATCTTCACAGGATCCAATGGTTTATTTATTTGAAGATTTAAGTGATTGAGAATGATGTCCCTGGTGTATTCATAGTAATGATTTCGAAAGAAGAAGAATCATTAAGCTGAGTTCACGTTGACTGTTCTCGATGCACTGCTTGGCTGAACAGCACCGTATTATAATTTATTCAGCACGAAAATGATATGTACATATTCAAATTAACAAGAAATTATGTCATTACATATATATAACATACTTCTGCATGATGTTCTTCATTTTGACGTAGTACCTCAATACACAATTCACCCAGGTGAATAAGGTCAGCCAAAGTCTTACCTAAATAGATAGATGAAGAAAATAGGAAGGAGAAAAAATGTCAGTACAAACATGAGATATGTTAGTGTTTCATATTACATTTTTAGGCCTCTTAAAAGCGGAAGAGAACATAACCAATATATAAAAAGTACAGACTTTTAGTCAAACTAAGTAGTGTCGAATCCAACATTTTGTAACATAACTAAATTGAATATGAGATGAAATTGTCAATTTTGAGTGACTTAGTTCCCAATATCGTTTCTATCAGGACAAATTGGGATTTTGTATAGTTTTTTATCAACGACAGTTTATTGATTGGTCTTGTTAAATGCCTGCAATCTTGCCGATCAACAGTATAGAATCTGAGGTTCTGCTGAGGAATGAAGATAATAATTCAAAATGTTAATGAATTACATTTTAAAGTCGGCGTTTTGAATCTGTTAAGTACGATAACTGTAGAACAGCATAATCAAGCAAGCCTACTAAAATGTATTGTGCTAAACGCTTACTAAAAATATTTTTATTAAACAAGACAACTGAATCCTTGGTTTACCGTTAAATAATTTGATAAATAATTGTTGAATTAATTTGACTGAAATTCTGACTTCTGAAGACATACTTTGACGCCTTAAAAAACCGTTACAAAACGAATGCTAATTAAGTAATTTATTCCCAATAAAATGTTTATTGCAATAAAATTATTGTATTTCAATCAACTTACTACTTGTTTGCGAATATTCACCACCTTTATCACGACCGCCTAATATAGTGAAAAAAAAATGAAATAGCTATCAATTATTTAAAACTGTGACTAGTTTATGTATATGAAGAGGAATGAATGACAAGTACGGAGATATCAAAGTGATTAAAGTTTACAATAATATTTTTGTTTTCAGATTGCAAACGAAGCCGATCATAAGAAAGGTGAAGATGTTCATACAAAAGAATAGTTTAACTGATCAATTAATATGACTATAATCAGTAAAATAACAAGAAAGAAATACAAGTTCTGTACAAAAAAGCAAAATAAAATAACTGAAATGCTTATATCAGTGTTATTGACAACAAAAAAAAGACATTGAAATATAAAAATTTGATAGGTACTTGAATAATCTGATTTAATAACTATCACAGTAATTAAATTTTAGATAATTCTCCAGAGACTTCACAAAGTATACAATGTTACATAATAAAATTTCAAGTACTAAATAATCACATTTTCTTGTGATTTTTTGTGAGAAATGTTTACTGATCTAGTTAGATTGGTAAACGAATGGATTGAAAACTTTTTGTAAAAACGTATATATACAAAAAGAATAACAAAATACATAATTTCAATTGAAATAAAGTCACCAAACACTTAAAAAAGCACAAACCGAACGAATTTTCTACATTGAGGTACAATAGGAATTCTTGAAATTATTTCAAGAATTTGTTTTGCCTCATGTTAGTGAATGAAATTACATTTAAGATGTATAGTAGTTATTTCATGTGCGAAATTCTAACATATTTAAAGAACTTTGCAAGGATTGTGTCCGATTTTCACACCTATTATAAAGATTTGTTTACTGTGATAACTCATGCACGCGACCGTATATTAATATTACAATATCCCTATAAAATCTATTTTTCAGATTAAAAGCTTTTCAAGATAAATAATCCAACTGATAATGATAGTCATACCGCATGAATAGAAATTAATTAAAATGCTTAGAATGTCCTAAAGATTTATGATATAAAAATTTATTTAGTTTGTACAGAACTGATGAGAAAATAAATTGGAGGTTTTAATTTTTAAAAACTGTTGAGGTTCATGCCCCCAAGTGCCCTGGTACGGCAAGGGTGGGGAGAGTCCGCTCTCCCTATTCAAGTACTTTCACATGGACACGCGTATATAGCCACTGCCAGAAAAGTCCTACTCACTGCCTTCTCGTGACGGGGTGTTGTTTACAAAATTGACAGGACGGAAAGCGAATGTTCGACGCTTTAACCGGGTTAGTGGACACTGAGAGTCCGCCTAGGGGAATTGGAAAACCCTGATTACAAACTAATGGTGCACATGGTCTTTAGGATCCCGAGGAACGAATGGCGTATGAACCAATCGTTGGTCGTCGGCTACCATGTGACTGCATTTCCTTACGATGCTCCACTGCCTTGTGGATCAGACCTTTAGGTTAAAGGCCCCGGGTGTCGCCTCCTAAGAAAACCACCTGCTTCGATCTGGGCACCCGAGCAGTCTCACAGCCCTCATACAAATTAGGTGACTTGTGTGGCGCATATGTATCTGGTACCCCGTTGTACCAGTATTTATGTGTTCAAATAAATAAATAATAAATAAATGTTGAGGTTCTGTTCACATGTGTACAAATTTCCATGATATAAATAGGAAAGCATAAAAATTCTGTTTAACTAGATATCAAAATAATCGTTCATTGAAAGTAATTTTATCATGATATAATGCCTGAGATTATCTGGAAAGTTTTCAATGTTGACTATGTTGTACCTGGCATTTTCGATCTCTTATATTCATTCATTCATGGGGTGAAGTATTGAGTTAAAACCAAATTTCAATATGCACAAACTACTCACTAAGTGAACAGAAAAATAAAAATCTCAGAATGTAACACACCTAATGATTGGAAACGAAGTATTTTGTTCAGATGGTATACATATGAAAAACTTGATGTGTCAAGACTACACTAATACTTATTTATCAACGTTATCTTTTCTTAATCTAATGTGATCAAATAAATGAAGTAAGGATAATTGTCTTTAGTCATTTAGACATAAGAAAAAAAATGTTAAAGAAAATAATGGTCATAGTTTCAGAACAAAATTCGATAAGCACTGATTAACTCACAAAATTGATGAAATCAATACTTATTAGGATGATGAGCATCTTACTACCTCTATGAAAATATTCTCCCCATTAACTAATTCAGTATATAAACTAATACTATTACAAAGCATCATATAATATATCAATGGATTAAGATAGGAAATAGCTAAAATTATAGGTATTAATATTTTTTAAAATTTTTTAAGAACGATAAAAATAAACCCGTGTGGCAATTAAAAAAACACTTCTAAGTATGTATAACGTGGTGTTTTTATCATGTGAGTAGCTGAACGAGTACTGTAAAAAAACCCAGATTTGCTGAGTTTCATCAAGCAATTATGGAAATTTATTCACTTATGAATTTAGTGACATTTAAATCTATGTAAGTAAATAATTGTAAACAAACTGCATATTCACAGATAGTCGCGACAGAGAACAAAGAGCTATTGGCTAGGTTAAGTTTCGACTATGTAGCAGTAACATGATACATCAGTAAATTACAACAACGGATCTTTAATCTTTAATATAACTACAGATTACATTTACTTACATTTTACTTCAATACTAAATCAATGATAGACACTAAAGTAGATAATTATGTTCAAAACAACAGTTGAAATTAAATTTGAGACACAAGTAAGAGTTCTACGCTTACTGTCAATTGCTGCATATTCAGATATACGAGCATAATTTACCAAAGCAGCTTGTTCCAAACATCGCCTTATTACTTCGCGTACTTCTTCAGCTGAAGCTGGAGCACCGGTATCTTTCATAAGGACCTACAATAAGAAACATATTCATTACTAATAAGTACAAATGTTCATAATAATAACAAGAGACAATTTATTAACAAAGATATTTTATCAGTTAAATCTAATCAACAATTAAATCAACTGAGAAAAATCTTATGTTCAATGTATCTGGAAAAAGTAAATAAAAATGTCACTAATAAATATCAACATAGATAACCAACTACTAACTAATCGTCATAATAAGAAAGACCTAAAATATATATAGACAGTGTTGAATATTAAGAAACAAATAAGTCTTTGTCTGTTTATTACTGAAATAAACAAATTTGTGCTTCGCTTACATGTACTTATTTGAACAGATGTTATACTGTAACATGATAGAAACTATAATTAGTAAGGAGCTGATTAATTTTTTTTGTAGTAGATAAATCCCTAACCCTACTGTATTAGTCATTTCAGCAGACGACTAGTTATCGGAATGCGGTTAAATCTACCACAACTGAAAATATGTTAAAAACGAACAGTCTAACAATTATTACACACAACTTAGTAGTGTGATTCTTAATGGTAATGTCATTTTAGAAAAGAAAGTCCGAAAATGCTGATATCAAAGTCAACTTTTAATATATAATCTATGCTTGTGGAAAATATGAGGAATATATGCAGAAAAATTGATTTCGTTAGTTCATTATAATAGGAAGTCAAAACTATTACAGAATTGTAGTGTAATTGATAAATGCAGAAATAATCCACATTCTTAGACTGGAAGCTGACAGTAAAAAATGTTTATAGGCCAGATGAGATGGCAAGCGTTGAATTATGGTACAAGGAAAACTAATTTGTAAGTGAACATATACACTTCTTAACTATACACCAGTTTAGTTTTAATAAATATTCCATAAAAAAATCGACGTATTGAACGTAAATGTATTTTATAAAAGTGTAACTACCAAAATTTAGTCAATTCAAAATATAATAATATCATAGTAAAAATATGAATACTAGTCATTAACTCACTCTTTCTAACAATCCCAGAGTTAGTTTCAATGCACCTTCTGGACGTCCAAAAGGAAAATAATAACGAAACTCTGTAATTTGTTTTTCTAAAAGAGCATAAAGACGTTGACGAATCCCCATGAACATTTGACGTTCATCAACTAGAACAGTTCGGATATTTGTATCTTGACTTAGTTAACAAAAAGCAAAGAAAAGAAATGAAAAAGACAATATTACTTGATATTTTATTTACTCCTGTATTACTGAATAAGAGCACTTTCGAACAATATCAGTAGTAAGAGTGTAGTATGGAGATGAGCTTGAAGTAACAGCGATATATTTCGGCAAGATGTTAGTTATTTAGAAAACAGGCTTTATAAAAGAATAGTTAATGAAAAGTAGTCGATAATATTACAGAGGATTAACAAAATTAAATAATTGATGGAATTATTGAAGTTTTCTAAACCCTATTTATTCTCTAAATCTAAAACACATATAAATTTATTTATACGGGTAAAAAAAAGTTATCGGTCTCATCACACCCTAAAAGGATTATACAGAAGACCCTACATCATTACTGGTTATAGCTAGAGGTTTAGAGTTGACGGTTTAAGGTTAGGAAACAGATATTTGGTTCGTTTGTGTATTATCAGCAATCTGCATAGTAAAAATTGAGGATTTAATGTATTTCAAACAATTCCGTTTATTGTATGATGGCAAAGATGATTTTCATCATCACTTTAAACGTTATGGGTGCTCTAGAAATGTATTGCTAATGAGTTTTTAACATAACACAAAATAAAGTGCATTTAAATTTGAATTTAGAACAAATACCAAGGAATGGTGTTATGAATTTAAGTTGTGGTTGATTTTTACCCTGTGCTAATTGTTGTGTCCTTGACTGGAAAATTAGAGAGCAGCGTACTTATCGACCGATTCAATGACATGTAAACACGTACAGACGGCCTAGAGTCTCGATTGGTCTCGCTTCCTGTCTAGCCCAGTCAGTTGAGTCCAGAACACAAGTCACAGCCTCGGAGATATGAATCATTATATTTCAAACATACTTTTTTTATATACCAATCAAGCATACCACATTGTACCATAAAATAGGAAACAACATTTTGTACAATATTCAACAAGTGAACAGATATCGACCAATAGGAAATGTCCATTTGAAGTCCAAGGACACCATTGGACTTAACATGATAAATATTGGTCTATTCCTCCGCATCCACAACAAATGGTTTCCACAATTCTAAATGAATCATTTCTATACTTTACTTTTTACCCAGAAAGCTTGTGCAGGTTGATATACCATTTATGATCAAAAATACTGATTTCGAGAATTTTAAAAATTCTTTCACACTCCTGATGACTATTAGGGTGGATTCTTTAGAATAGTTGCTCAGAGAACAAAACGCCACCAGAATAATAACTATCCTTAATCATATAAATAACTTGACTTTAGACTGGTTATATTTACCTAAATAATTTAAGTAGCTCATATGAAAAGAATAAGAGTAAATAGAAACTGTAACAAAGCTTAATTATCACAATTTTATTCGGAAAAAAAAACGTTGGAAAATTACCCGTAACCATAACAAAAAAACCAAATAGAAAGTAAGGAAATTAGATTTCACGACTCAGTAATTCGAAGTGTAAGAACTAATAAGTTCATCTGATTCATTGAATTGTACTGAAGGAAACATATAGAGGAAGACAAGTCATTAGCATCAGTTCAATTTTTACATGTAGAAATATCACAGTGACTAGAATAATTGTCTAACGTAAATATATGAAGAGAATTAATTTGATGCAAACGAATCTGGGATTATATTTTGGTGCTTCCGACTTTAAGTGAATCTTATTAGAGGATTTTTGTTTGTCTTTGGAATTATTTTAATAGTTCTGTGAATTTAAATACTACCTATAATCTTATGGAATTTTAGTTGAATTCAGTGTATTTTAATTGCTTTTATCTCTGCATCACTTAACTTATGGATAAGTACGAAAAAATAAGAAAAAACTAGGTTTCATGAAGTATCTCACCGAATGATTTTACTTTGAAACTATATGAAACTATTATTTAAAATGGATAGCCCATTAACTGCATATATATTAATTGTCCAAGGTAGGTGTGTACGACTAAACAGTCAGTCATGATGTGATTTTAATATAAGCACAATCTTAGCGATATACGTTACATTTTCAATAAGGAATTTATTTAATAATAAATTTGAATTAATAATAATAATTGCAAAAATGAATTACTTACGTATTACCGAATACATGACAACAACAAAATGCGTATGAATAATGTACAATAGCTGGATCTATAATTATGCCCTGTTCAGCTCGATCAAGTAAATCACTTAAATAACATAAATGTCTATGACAACCACGTACACCGTAACGTGCACAATATTCATCTAATATAAACATTTGACTTGGACTAAACCAACCAAGTGATACATATGAATCTTTCATACGATAATCTAATGATTTTGATTGTAATAAAGCAAATAATTCAGCATGATTCACTTTCCATGGTTCAATACTGACAAATTCATCAAGACCATGTTTACGTGCACGATCCACATCTAAAAATACAATGAAGACAAAAGATAATTCAATGTCAATGAAAAAGAATGCGAAATATTAAAAAGTTTATAAAACGTAATAATAATAACGAGAAATATTCGTTGGTAATAATATGAAACTTTCTGCATCAATAATTCATGGATCAAAGTTCTACCTGATATGAGAGCTGTCATTGAAACAATTTATTACATGATAACATGAACTTACTAGTTAAGTGCTAATTCACTTAATCCTAAAACAGCTATTGTTGACTAATCAGGATGTTTTTTTAATTATCTAATATTTAAGGAGGTTGTTCATTTCATAAGATGTCTGTTGGATATTGATTACCTCTCACAACGTTCTTTTAATTTTCAAGCTGATAGGTATTAGCTAAAAAACACGAACCAGTTGGTTCGTCCTTTTAATGAACGATTACTTAGTTACATCATATCGGTATCCAAGATAGTGGATCAGAAGAATCAATAATGCAGTAGACTTCCTGAAAAAGCTTTTCAAATAAAAAAACTGGTTAACGGAGACACTCAATAACACAGTTTATAAATGACTACAGTGATACAGATAGATTCCGGTTTCAGGATACTGTACGTTTGATTGGATTTCGTTCAACCTGTCAATAATTTTTACTGTCCGTACTTTTTCTCAAAATTATAATCATTTGAATCGATTTATATTAGTATGTGTAGTTAATTGTCAGTCTGAAAAAAATTATATTTTAAGTTTAGCGAAGTATCTAAAAATCCTATCTATTAGAAACTTTCTCTTGACTTTCATTTTTAAGGATAGGATAACACTTCTCATAAAATACAAAACACACAATGCATAATATATACTTTTACTCACCACCTTGAGTTCTACTTCCTATGCTGGAAGTATTACCACGAGAAGTCAGTATTGAGGTAGCCGATGATGATTTATTGTCAGGAGTGAGATTGACATTTTGCAAGTTACTATTGTTACTTCCACTTATATTTTTTGACGGTGGTACTGGTTTATGTGTTTGACCAGTAGCACGATAAATTGCCTGTATCCATAGTTGACGTTCATTTTCATCATCTGTTGCAAACATTACACTATCACCTTCTTTGACTAAATTAAAAAAGTATTTTCCGCCAGTAGCTGCTAAATCTAAAAGCAGAAGGAAAAATAAATTACCTGAATCATAGATTTCAACTCATGGAGTATTTACAAGACCCTCCTCCTTCTTTAAGTCATTTAATGACCCGATGTTACATGGCAAACAAGTGTTAACCAAGATAAATAATGAAGAACATGTTATATGCATTTTTTGAAACAACTAACATTGTTAATTAAACAGCATAGATTATTCTAAGAATCCAATAAGACTAGGATCTTTATATCCTACATTCTCAACAAGAAAGAAAACATAATTTTTTCATACTTGCTTTCAATAGAAAACAAATCATGTTAGTCTGATTATGTGAGCTTTCTCTATGCCATAAAATAATGAAGATTTATTCATCTACTGACATTCACTGTTTTTCTAATATATCAATAACCTAATAAATAAATAAATAAAATGTTGCGCAATAAATTATCATGAAAGTTTACTAGACAGATTTGTTAGTTAAGGTTTACTGTCTGTTACAACGAGAAAAATATTGAGGAAGCTGGAACTTTTGGAATTATTCTTAGGTTTATTATTCTTATTTATATTTTTATTGTATAATTAGTAGATAGAGTTTTGCTGTATCTCCAAATTCCGTTTGTTTTAGGCTTTTAGTAGACTTACTAACTGCCGCTATGCGCTTCACTAATGAGATATGTACTGCTCGCTCATCCCTATACCACGTATAGTATGATTGTATTTAAAATATGATTTCATGTTCGGTGTTGCATGATCAGTCACCTCAAGCATAGTATTGTATCAGTTTTGATTTGACTGCATTGCATTGGGTAGAGTAGAGAAATAATTGGCACTCTATTCGCGTCTTCCAGTTGATGACTACTTTAGAAATAACTCAAGAACCAATAAGTCTTAAGGTCTTGGTTGCTATCCACTGGTCAGTGTTTCAATTTGGTAAAACGTGGGTTACCGGTCCAACTGGAATACGGGCGGACAAATTGACAATCAGAATCCTGATTGGGCGTTATAACATGTGATACTGATTGGTATCTGAGACCATAACAAACAGGTGATCAAAATCCACAACACTATCACTCCGATTCATAGTCATGATATTCGTCAGGTATTTTTAGAAGTGTTTAACACTTTAAAGCTTGATCGATGTTTGGTAAGTATAAATATGTTAAATGGAAAATATACTACCTTTCTTTCAACAAACAACAGATAACCCAGGTTATTTAGCATAGGGATCGATATAGAACTGGCCAGTATAAGTCTATTTCAAATGATGTGAATTGATTGTTTAAAGTAGCTGAATAAATCAAGCATAGATATATGATCATACAAGTCAGAGATCCAAAAGTCAAAATACTATTGAAAGTTATTCATTTGTTCACTTACATTTCGTAAAACATAATATTTATTTTTAAATATTGTATGATAACATAATATGGTAAATTTAAATTGGAAAAAAATGACATTTTAAGGGAATCTCCATAAATAATTGAAGAAGAAATTCTCGAACAAGATTTCGTTGTTAATAATAATTATTGTCGACCATAATAAGAGGTATGATACATTCAAGTACACGTTCATGCAATGTGCTTCAAGTCACACAGTCTATTTTGTGTGACGAATAATCATACGAACCAATTGACTACTCTATAACAAACTGGATTATAGTTTAAGGTTGCAAAAATAAGTAGTTGAATGCGAGTCTTTTCCATTACTGTCACCAGAAAGTGAAACAGTAGTGATAATGATTAATCAAATGATAATTCTTAAATAAACATATTAGGGATAACTTGTTGAAGAAATTCAGCGTAGGCATCAAGAAAAAAACATAGCTTTGAACCAAAACAAATATTGTTTGGGTGAAACATAATGAATGGATTGCCAATAAACAACGAAGCCTATTCACATTCATAATAAATACAAAATGACTAGTGCCATACATTATTTTATAATGTGGATAAATAACTAATTACTTAACTTCATACCACTTTATATATTATTTTATGTTTGTAACAAAAAATGAAAAAGAATAGGCGAGAGTAATTTATCCATTAAGTATTCATCTTTTTTGCTCATGTTGGTCTAAACAGAAGAGTTTTTTCTTCACTTCCCTTCTTCATACATATTTTTGTCTCGATTGTGATTGCTATTACTACTATTCATCAATACAAATAAATTTCAAGTTATACATTTTTATTTGGTCATTCAGTCAAAACAAAACTGGTAAAGTTATTTATCTCTTTAGTCATTAAACTGATGAAGATATGGAGAAATCTGGAAAAAATTTACAATTATTAATGGAATACAACTACACATTTATTCAGTTGGAAGAATAAACTCTATATGAATTGCCTCATATAAAGGAATAATTCTTTAGCAAATAGGTAACTTGAACACAAAAATTGGTATTAGTAATAATAATGTATATATATGCATTAGTGACATCTATTCAATTTCCTGTTATTAGCAACGATAGTTGGGTATATAAAAATAGATTTATTAACGAAGTAACAGTTGAGCTTAAACCACTAAGTTGTCAATAAGCTGTTTTCACTGCTTAAAACAAAGTGAAATAATTCAGTGTACAATACAATTCCAATAAGCATTATTCCTAAAGTTTTATTATTCCTAAATATGGAATATACTTTAAAAAAAGGATAAAGTTAACTGTCTCAAATACGTTTTTTTACCTATCAGATAATACTGTCTTGTACATTGTGCTCTATGAGTTGAATGTTTTGTTTGTTTGACTTTTACTACTTGTCTATTTAATATCATCATTACATAGAAAAGATAATTTTTTCATCCATTAGTTTGATAATACTCAACTTATATCGCCATTAATATAGTTATCTAAACACTTATCATATAAGTAATTTTTTAGCTACTCTGAGGTTATTATTTAATAATAATTGTATACACGGTGCTCAATAAACTGGTGATCTACCTGACATTCACAACAGCTTCACCCAGTTCTGCAACAAGAATTTGTCTAATTAACTATTATAAGATTATTTATTTATTTCAACACATAAATATCGGTACAAGAGGGCACCAAATATATATGCGCCACACAAATCTCATTCGATATGTGTGAGGGCTGTGATAATGCCCGAGTGCCCAAACCGAGGCAGGTGGTTTTCTTAGGGGGCCACTCCCCGTGCTTTTGACCTAAAGGTCTGGTTCACAAGGCAGTGAAGCATCTAGGGAAGATGCATTCCCATGGAAGCCGGTGACCAACAATTGGTTCATACGCCATTTGTTCCCGCCGGATACTGGAGCCCATGTGCACCAGTGGTTTGGAATCCGGTTAAAGCGCCGGACATTCGCTTTTCGTCCTCTCATTTTCGTAAACAACACCCCCGCCACGAGAAGGCAATGAGTAGTACTTCCCTGGCAGAGGCTGTATACGCGTGGCCGTGTGAGAGCATTTCGAGAAGGAGGGCGAACCCACCCCACTCTCGGTCGTACTAGGGCATACTGAATAATACATATGCCATACTATTTTCTGCTCAAATTACATTAATTATTCCAATCTACAGCTAATACACTGTTTAAAAACAGGGTTAAATAATATCAAACTGAAAACCTACGACAATTCATCTACTTTTCTTTTGATAAAAGAAACAGAAAGGACCGTTTCCAATAACACTTACATCATTAATTTTTTTATCGGTATGTAAAAGAAACACAACACAACGTGAATTCTAGATATCAAGAAATGATGATATAATTCTACTACGGGATCGGATTTACCTGGCGGAATTATTAAATTCATACAATGAATTTATATTGTTTAATCCATTATTTACTCAACCAAATATTTATTTATAGTTTATTGATGAAATATAATTCTTCGTAGCTACCTTAGTGAGAACTACAGAGGCATTACACTACTGTCAATACCAGGGAACCGGATGAAAGATGCAGTAGACGCCCAACTTCGAGATCAACAAGTTGGATTCCGTAAGGATCGATCGTGCACAGACCAAATTGCAACACTACGGATCATCGTCGAACAATCAGTTGAGTGGAACTCGTCACTATACATCAACTTCATTGATTATGAAAAGGCATTTGACAGTGTAGATAGGAGGACATTATGGAAACTTCTTCGACACTACGGAGTTCCTGAGAAGATTATCAATATTATCCGAACTCATACGACGGACTACAATGCAAAGTCGTGCATGGAGGACAGCTGACAGATGCATTCCAAGTAAAGACCGGAGTCAGACAAGGCTGTTTACTCTCTTCCTTCCTTTTTCTTCTTGTGGTCGTCTGGATTATGAGGACCTCGACATCTGAAGGAAAACACGGAATACAATGGACAACTCAGAATCAATTAGACGATTTGGACTTCGCAGACGACCTAGCCCTCCTATCACGTACACACGAACGGATGCAGACAAAGACAGCCAGTGTAGCAGCAATCTCTGCATCAGTAGGCCTCAGCATACACAAAGGGAAAACCAAGGTCCTCAAATTCAAAGCGGAGAACGGCAACCCAATCACTCTTGATGGCGAAACTCTGGAAGATGTAGAATCCTAAACATACCTTTGAAGCATCATCGATGAACAAAGAGGCTCAGATGCAGATGTAAAGGCGAGGATTGGCAAAGCAAGGGTCCCATTCCTACAGTTGAAGAACATATGGAACTCAAAACAACTTTCAACCAATATCAAAGTGTGGATCTTCAATACCAACGTCAAGGCAGTCAGTTCTACAGTACTGAGCTGAAACTTCGAGAACTACTACAACCATCATCAAGAAGGTGCAAGTATTTATAAATAGCTGTCTTCGCAAGATACTCAACATCCATTGGCCGGATACAATCAGCAACAGCCTTTTGTGGGAGAGAACAAACCAGCTTTCAGCTGAAGAGAAAATTAGGAAAAGACGATGTAAATGGATAGGACATAGACTACGCAAATCGTCAAACTGCATCACAAGACAAGCCCTAACTTGGAATTCTGAAGGGAAGCGGAAAAGAGGAAGGACTAAGAACACATTGCGTCGGATAATAGAAGCAGATATGAAAAGGATGAATAACAACTGGAAGGAGTTAGAAAGGATTGCCCAGGACAGGGTTGGATGGAGAATGCTGGTGAGCGGCCTACGCTCCTTCAGGAGGAGTAACAGGCGTAAGTAAGTAGTAAGTAACCTTAGTGTGTTAGACAGAAACCTTTAAGGAAAAACTACTGTAAATAAATCAGAAGTAAAAGTGCTATCCGTATCAAATTTTATCTAATACAAGAAATAATTAATCGACCGGTTAATTTTCGTTCACATAGTTCTTAGAATTATGTACTGTGTTCAATTTTCAAATCAAAATTGTCTTACACCTTAATGAGAAACGTAACAAAAAGAAAACATTCATTCAAATTTTTTGCGGATTACGTCAAGTCACATGACATTACCAAGTCGAACTTTTTAGTATTTTTATACAAATAAACAATGATTATCGCTGGAATTATCTTAAAATATGTCTCATGACTTTAAAGCAACTCCCAAGACCATGAAAACACTACACTGCAGGACAAATAGAACTATGACAAAACTTTGCAAGACATAACACTAATTGAAATGGAAGGACAAAATTAATTGTCCATTAATATTAGATTGTTTCATAGTTTTACGTAGAGCTTACTAAAATAAAAACAATTGTTCAAATGTGAATTGAATGACTAATATAGTGCCCGAAGACTTTGACAATCATGAACAACTAGAAATATTGAACCGAATGTTAATAACCCAAACTAAGCTTCATGCATGAACAACTTCAATGCAAAAAGATTTACTTCCAGTGAAATAAACTAATATATTACAGTTACACTGAAGTGTATTTTATTAGAAATTAAATACTAGACAGATAATATTGAAGATAATATGCAAATTAGAAAAGAAACAACGATTAACTGGAATTTACCTTTAGAATAGTCAAATACAATAACTCACACAAACGCAGTCAATAATTCGACTGCTTTTCAGTGTGATCAATTTAATGTAATAACTTCAACAAAAATACAAGAAACGATTCTATTTTGATTTTTTGGAAAACAGAAAGAAATTACGTAAACGGAAAGCTATTCGAATATAAATATTAGACTAATCAATTAGAAGCCTATGTAACATATACTTTTTGCTTAATTCTATTTATTAAAAATGACCTCAATCATTAAATTAATTGATAAAAATTAGGTTTGAAAGAAATGAAAAGTGAAAAACGTGATAGTTTATCACATACCAGTTTGGAAATCACAAAAATCAACTGTGAATCCTTCCAATTGCATAATCTCTGTTGGATCCGATTTACGCTCTTTGTAGGATGCCATGATAAACGTATACTGTGATACCTATGGACAATATAAATTTAAAGGAAAAACAATACCGAAACTATATATATATATCATATTTTACATTTTAGTTCTCTATAGACAAAACTTTACAAACTATTATTGAAACAAATAATTGTAAAAACAAACTTTTATCTATACAACTAAGGGGAAAACAAAAGTTAGTCCCACCATATAAACAACACAAATGTATAAACGAAGAATATTCTTTACAATAACGTCTTATTCGATTGTACAACCATAGATCCAAATTACATTTTCAGAGACAACCAAAATTAAGACAAACTCATTCGTAATTATATTATTATTGCTTTCACCCTATTATCTATATTTATTCCGATTGTTGACAGTTTAGTTTCAAGTGACCTATAACAGTACACACTAGTCATTTCAACACCAAACTTTTATCTTGTTAGCAATCCCTAATTCGTATATGATCATCTTTAAGGATGTATTTTTCTTCAATGTAACTACCACTTTGAAAAGTTACTTCGGGTATATAACTAAATCTAAATAAAGTAAACATCTACACAAGAAAAGTAGGAAATTGAAAAATACATCCTAATGAATTCGAAAATAGTATACTCTTGATGACTAGTATTTGACTCCGATGTGATAGAACGAATGATGTTATCGAAATATACATCCCAGCTACCCTCGAATATAATTATCGACTTAATTCACGTTAGAGAATAACAGAATAAAATAAGTCAAATACGAGTAAAGTTTGAATACGTGTATTCTGTACACTCAATGTTATGAACAGACAAACAGAGAAACGAAGCGGAGCGGAGGTGAGTGAGCCAACTCCTTTTGATCAGGAGTGACTCAATATTTATAGTCTCAGATATCTGATGAGTAAGATAAGCAATACGCACATATACACTCATGTAAAAATAGTCAAGGTCAACAGGCGAATGATTGACAAGGTCCAAATGTGGCTCAAGAACAATGAATATATCAATCTGTATGGACGCTATAATAACCCATGAAAGCTTAACATAGTACTAGATACTACAATACCAATTATAACATCTCTTAATGTTGTATAAAAAAAAGTCAACATACATATTAACCTTGACACCAACACCCTATTTTTGTCGCATAACAGCTAATAGACAACCTAGTAATAACAATACTGAAAAGCTATAAAACTTAGAAGGAAAACTTTGAATAAAATGAATCAATATTAAGCATCTGATTATATATTTATGGACCAGTGAAGTACATCATCTCATCGGCTTCCATTTAAAAAAAAACGGGCTAAAAGTTGAAGGATTTTAAGTATACCAGATATATAGCCTTAATCAGTCGAATATATCGATGTCATCAAAATCACAACACTAGCCGATAAGTAGTGTGAAAAACTTTTTTCTCCAGTCTTTTTATTTAGTTATTTTTACGTTTTATTTACTATAGGGACAATTTTAAGGCCAACATAGAAAATTTAGGATACATATTTTTACACATAGCTGAAATTTCTGAAAGAAATTAAAAAATAATTTGGAAATTTCTATCATCCTATTTTATACTTCACGCATATGATTTATGGGTTTAGAATAGTTATCGTAAAAGGATACAAGGAATAATGAGATAAAACGCGTTTGGGAAGAAAAATTATAACTATATTTATGTATATCTTTGACACTAATGAGCAAAGAAAAAGAAAAACGAAAATTTGGAACGAGAGTTGAATTTGAAAGTTGAGAATACAACAAAATTTCCAAGTAAACTATTTGTTTATTTAAGGATGTAAACGGATTTTTTATACTTTTCCAATCAGTATTCAGCTATAATATTGTAATGTTTAACCTAAGTGTTGAGGCTAGTAATTCAGATGCTGTATTAGTCAAACTAATCCCTTATGATAATCATAGAACGATTTTAATCCTTTCTTATATATTGTGACAATCAGTGATTGCGACCACTCACAAGGGATTACATCTAGTTCCCAGATTTTAGCTAAAATATTAGTCAACCTAATCGCCAAAACTGGATCTCCATCCCTAAAGACTACTGGAGTTAATCCATCTGGACTAGGTGACCTTCTTCGTTTCAGATTAACTATGGCTTTTTCAACTTCAATTAGAGTCGGGAGGCCTATTTCAATGTTCCATTCAGGCTGTTTGGAAATGGTGGGTAGCTGTAGAGTAATTGAAGGTCAGATTAACTAATCCTTAAAGTGTTCTACGCAACGTTCTAAACGTTTGGATTAACAGCAGATAAGAGTGTCGTCTTTCCCCGAAATGGCCTCACTCACTCTTGCCTTCCTAATCTCGGTTTCTTTTATTATTCTGAAAAGCTGTCTTATGTTACCTAGAGCCGCTGCCTTTTCCATCTCATTTGCTTTCGTTTCCCACCACTGTTCACGATCGTTCCGTAGACTCTTAGTTAACCTCGATCTAATTTTTTTTAGCTTATCATCGTATTCAGAGCCTGACGGGATGAGTCTACGAGAGTCTATCAGTGAAATAGATGTAGCAGGAATCCACTGGTTTCTCGTAACACTTTGGTTCAAATCACTAACAGAAAACAAAAAAAACTTACCAATATTTTTGAATAAATGAAAAGGGCAAAAACAGCAACTAGTTGTTCCCGATACCCAACTTATTTTTCATCCTTTTTACCAAAATAAAATAAATAATACCGTCGTAACATTTTCAATAGTTACTGTATTCAAGCCAAAACTGACAACAAAGTGTATCTCTATAAACTATATATAAGTATCACAGAGTAACTCTGTTCAGTCATAATAGCAAGTAGTACTGCAACGAATAGAAAACTTTACAAGTGTTTGATTCAATTTGTCTTTGTACAATAGTGTGAAAATTTATTTTATCACAGTACAGGTATTTGTTTGAAATACAAGAAATTAAAACATTTGTGACACAATAAATACTAACTAATAAATGGTTAAAATTTTAATTAGTATATCGATATAGATTGATTGAATATGATGAAACATTACAGACCTGGTATATTATAACTACAAAATGGTTATCATCACTATACACTGATTTGGAGAAGATTAGCAAGTATGTGTTTGTGTAGATGTGAGTAAACTATCAGTAGTTTTAAAATTATCTATGAAATAAATTCACATTCATGATAAGTGACTACAAAACTAGTTAGTTAACTTAGTTTTAAACCAAAGTAATCAAGATAGAAGAGTTTACATGAGCTACTACATATTTTTTCTTAAAAAAAAAAGCAAAAATATTATTCACTAATAAGTTTCAAACACAAACGGGACACCTGTTTCATCCTTTCCAGCTTCTAATTGTTCTCTATAAAATATTAATGTATAAACTAAATTACCATAACAAAACAATTGTAAAAATGCTTAAGTCAACAACACATGTATAAATATCCACAAACATACACACATAAATCAACATTGAGTTTTGGCTATTGAAGAAAACATTCCAAAAAATATTCCAATCACCTTACGACAAAGAAATATTAGTGTTTTTACTGTACGCCTACATAAAACGTACAGAAGAAAATAAACGATAGATGAGATCATTTTACGATAGTAACAAAAAGATCAATATTAATTATTTGAATGATTTCAAAATAATAGATTGGTCAATTTGCATAAATCTTTGTAACTATCCTAAAGGATAGAGCATCTGTTTACTTATTTGACTATTAATTTATCTATCTATGTTTTTGCGTTACTCGCAAACAAACAAACTTGAATTATCCATTATGTCAAGTATCAAAGAACAAAATATTATCTGACGGGGAAAAACTGTCATATCCCTTCAGAATACACTAATTTATTTCAATGACAGAAATAAATAAATGACCAGAGAGAGAAGAAATTAAATGAATTGAAAAATTCTTTTCGTCACTAGAAAAACGAAAAAAATCCAAGTTTGAATGAAAGAAGATCCAACGGACGTCATACATTTAAAATTATAATAATACTAATAACTACATTACGATTAAAGGTAGGAGAAAAGGGAAGAAAATAGAAAAAACAGCAGCAAGCCAAATAACCAGCTATAAAAATACCTTTATAGTGACATTTCAGTAAAATAAAGTTTTACTCAGCATAAATGAGAATAACAGCAAAAACACATTGTATGACGATAGAAAATTTTTTAAAAAATGGAGTAAAGCCAAAACATCAGTAGAAACTTCGAAAGGAAACTTCTAAGGATAAAATCATTTCGTCCTTGAAATTTAAAGGTGTCATGTTAGAGAGGAGGTAGTGAGATTATATGAAGACTATAAAACGTAAAACGAATAGATAGCTGAAATGCTTGATTTTTGGAAATTACATGAATGTTTCGAATCGTCAATTCATACGATATTAGGATATCACTCGTTGAAAATTGATAACTAGCACAAAATCTAGGCTTGAAGCTTCCTGTTAATTGTCTATCGAACGCCTGGCAACGAACATGACTTATCAATTGCCAAGTAAGTTGGAAGTCCATATAAACTGAAAACGATATCGGAGGTGAACATACATTTCGTAGGTGATTAAATGATGATGGTGAACTAATATCCCTATTCAAAATACTATAATAAAGTTAGGTGAACAAATATTTCATTTGACTAAATTTTATTGTAAACGAACTATAGAATTAAAACTTAACAAACTGATCCATTAAATCGCAACTGTACCTTGGTATTATTCTATTAGTAACACTTACGATTTGCAGAAATTTTCAGGTATGATAAGTTTCCAAAGAATGAATTGAAAATAAGGATTTAAATATGCAATGTAACAAGTCTGTTCGATATTCTCAAAATATTCTTTAGACACACACACACACACAACATATCAACCTGTCTTCAAAAATGTACCACCTATGAATTAATAACTTAAAGAAAAACAAAATCTAAAAATGATACAAATTTAGTAATAAAATGAAACACTCTATGGATTGATTTTGATTGTTCTTTAAACTTCAAGACACTCTTATTGAGATAAATATACAATAAAATAAAGATTAAGTTGTGACAAAAAACCTCACAAACTTGCAAACAATATTGAAACTAAGATTTATGAAAAAATTTGGCGTAATAATGGAAGAAAATAAAAGATGGGAATAACAAGTTTTAACAGACATGAATTCAATGTTAAGAAAATTGAGGCTTGAATCTTAATGACAATATTTTGCAACATAATTAACAAATTAATATAAAAGTCTTTCATACATAGTGTCATCTCGAAAACCCTAATAGATATTTTTTATAATCTTTACTAAATAAACTAGGTAACAGCTTTTTTTTAAAAAAAGCAAGAAATAAGATAAGATGACAAACATGATAACCATGAGAGTATTGTCTAACCTGTCAAAGTTATCATCTTCCATCTAACACAACAAATGCAATAATAATTTACAAACAACACTAAAACGGAAGTTTAAACATGAATATAGCAAAAACAACATACCTGTATTAAGCAAATATAACGTCGTATCCATTTTCGAAATGCTGTTCGACCTAATGCATATAAATAACCACAATGTTTTAGATTATTTGGTTTCTCCATACGCAATGTGAGCTGTAGTTGTAAGTCATCCGGTACATTTTTAGAAGTTTGTAATTTATACCATTCTGGTTGACGATTACCAGTACATGTAGGATTTAAGATAACCTAGAAAATAATATCGAGGATTTATATAACTCATAATAGTAACTATAAATGCAAATCAGCTATTAAATTATCTTAATATAATAAGCTTTGATGTATACGTTCGATAATTTTGGTCCCGAAAATCTGATGTGTATTGTAGAACAAAGCATAATACTCTTTTAAAAGTCTACTGCTTTATTTATTGAGATATCACAAAAATATTTGCGTTAAGTAATTAATGATATAAAGAGTGATACAAGAAAAGGACCAAGCGGATTTTTTTCAGTAACTTTGTTATAAGAAGCAGGCTCTCAGTTATGTATATATATCACCATTTTGGAGTTAATTTTTCGGAGCTAGATGGTACAGTTGAGAAGCTTTCCATTGTCATTCTAGACGACATCTTCAGTATTTTTATACGACGCAGGAGACCACATACCAATCGCTATTAATAAATAAAACGGTAAAATTGATTGCAATTATACACAAAAAATATATCTAAAATTCACCTCATGATACTGTAAAGAAACATCGTTAATAATTACAATAAGATTGTAAAACACAATGTTGATCAAACATTCCTATTCGATTACAGCATTAAAGACAAGAATTAGGGAAAATATGTTATTTTAAGATGCGACATCGCTGTTATTGAGTGTTCTACTTACGAAATCATCTAATTATGTGACAGAGTTATAGAAAAGGAAATATACACTATAAACCATCCAGATTATTATTACAGTTAAAATGTATCGAGAGCGTAAATCTCAAGCTTAAAGGAAAAATATGCAGACTAATGCATGGAGTGACAATGGGTCTCCTGTATGTCAATATTTCAATAGCTAATACAGAAAAGTATCAACGTTATCACTTTAGACTCCACATATGGATTATGCGTGAATCTTTTGTAAAAGCCGTAACGACTAACTACTCTCCGGCGATTTAATTAACTTTATCTGCCCATTAAATTTACATGTGGTAAAATAAATATTGTTAGAGTAGCCTTTGCAAATGTTTTACTTACGAATTGAGCAGAAAAATCTAAAGGAATAAAGCTGAACAAGGAAATTATTTGGAAAGGATAATATACATGCCTTTTTAGAATTAATCACTTTACAGAATAAAGATATTTGAACGGTACCTAGTTACTATTCAAATACAGTTGAAGATTTATTTAATGCTATTCATATTATTCGGAGAAAAAAGAAGACAACGAGAAGTTTAGGAACAAACAGTCACAAAACTAAGATGAAAGGACCTTCAAACAATAAATCCAAACTCGGTGTTCATATTTCCTACGATTGATAGGTAATGCACCCACAGATATATCAAAAAGCTATATAGAGGCAATCCTCACAGAATGCACATATGCCAACATGAGACTGATCAACTGCAGTCCTAAATAACAATGGGAAGATACAAGTAAAACAACACCAAGTAAATTTAAACTTCACCCCACTGCACAAGCAGGTGGCTATCAGGACTCAGTGGCTAAGTGGATAACGCGTTTGAAGTGAACGGTACTGGGTTCGAGTCCCAGAGTGAACATCGACTCGGATGCAGGTACATCCAGCTGACGCGTCCCGAATTACTCATGATTAACAGATATCTGTATGAAAGCAATCAAGATGATCATTCACATAAAGGAACACTGATCAGAACTCAGGGTTTACAATATTATATATATATTGTTAAGGGCTATGTATGATTCCTGGTACACAATCACTTCGTCGGCAAGGGTTGAACATAAGATTATAACTGAAGGTGAATATATAGTATATTTTGTTTGAACGACTTAAAAACATTTTGAATGGTTTTCAACTTTAAGAATTCTCAGTTTCTTTCATCTGATACTGTGTAGTTTAGTTCATTTGGCGCGATACATGACTATCAGTAATAAATATTGTGTATTCTGTTTAGTATCACAGGATATGACTTTTGTAACAACTTACATTTGATTAAACTTCTCATATGCTCTCTTCTTGAAAAAAAGTTAACATGAACTCATTATACAAACAGGAGGTAAATAGTATAATTTTGAGAAGAGCAGACAGGAAAATATATTAGATAACCACACCTATTGTAACTAAAACTGAGAAATCACTAGTTTCACATAGACTTCAACAGTTCATCAATGATTACGTCGAATCTCATGACTTTTACAAGCACAAGTAAGCAAGAACATTTGATTGATACAGATGGAGGTAATAAAAAGTTGACGTAATAGCTGTAAGCTTATTTTACATAATATCGGATGAGGTTAAGGGATAGACAATAATGCACTCCTACAACCAAGAGCTGAGAGATGTTAAACGGTCAGCGTTTAAATATATATTAAATCTTTATTTAGAAACTATCAAAGGGACATTTCGATGTTTAAGGAAGCTCCAGTAATTAAGTATATTTAAAACTTTTTAATGTTATTAAAAGTAAACGTTTTCTCACCTTGCACGCATCCTACAAATCCTTGGTTCATTTTAAACCCTAATGTAGTATACTTACATTTCATTATATAACAAATCAACACTTTGTTCAACATTTCATCATTTTCATATAATAAGTCTCCTATTTGTAAATATATGGTTCAATTAGTCAAAGCGTATTGCATGAGGATATCTCATTTTCTTCATCTGATCTTCGTCTTTTTATTACGCCATCCACATTTAGAAATAAAAGGGTTAACTGTTTCTATTGCTTTCATTTGAAATATCCACTATTCCAAAAGAACAGAATGGATGTAGAATTTGACAATAAATTACAACTTATTTGAAAAGGGTTGGTCCTTACAAGATGAGTAGATTTAGAGCATATGTTTATTCACACTCATATATGTTGTGTTAATTTGACTAAAAAAATATAATAAAAGATGTAATTGATAACAAAATGTAAAGCACATATTGATGGACGAGTAAGTAGCGTATTTTAATTCTAGGGCATTGCATTTGTACTAGTATATGTGAAAGTCAGTTGCAGGTTACCGGTTTTACATGATTTATTCATAACTATAATTTACTGCAGAAGTTTAATAATTAATATAAACTATGTAATATAAAAATAGTCAACAAAGAACCCAATTACTTAAAAGATCAATTAACTGCAAGTGTTCATCATGAAATCTTATCAGTGAAAGAATTACTGAGAACTAGAGAGTACTCAAGAGATATTGTTTCATAATAGACTTAGAATATTTACTTGAATAAGGCAACTGCTCAGTGATCCATGAGATTCAGTCAATGAAAAAAACGGCTCCGAAAAAATCCGCCCACATACACAATCTGGCCAAAACGAAGAAACGTTAACGAGAAACAATGAAACAAGAAGCTGAAGAAGGATGAACAGTGGATTGCTTACAATCAGAACAATAAAAATATGAGTGTGCTCTGAGAAACGGTAATTACTGTTTCGCAATTAAATACTAATTTGGTATAAAGTAGGTCTATAAACGAGATGTAAATATACACGTAACACAGATTCTTTGATTCAGATCGATAATGTCGTCCAAAAGTAATTTTCTACACCCGTAACTAAAATAGTACGAGGAAACTTAACAACACAGATCTTACATCATAGGATTAGAGACTCAACGGGACTATAAAATTACGAACACATTTTAAAGAATAAAAGCCCATTTCTTACTTAATATCGTATTCAAATAGAATGTACATAAGAATTTGACAGTTTCTGAAAAAAAGATTATTATTCTTTAAAAAGCCATGTTTAATGGCTTAGTAGAATAGTTTGTAACAAGCATCATTCATTGGTGTTGACGTTGAAAAATGTGACTGAGATCTAAAGGATTACCCTAAAAAAGTGACCTTCAAGCTTGTAATTCCTGGAAGATCAGCGTTACATGTATAGATATTTTATTAACCATTTATTTTCCAACAATTTAACATCCAAGACTAATCGAATGTTCAGCATGAAGCTTCAAAAATTTTAAGCGGGAAAATAAATGATAGCTGAGAAAGTTATGCAGATTTATTGAGGACCAATGTTATTATTCCTAACATTTTCCAATATCATAATACTAGTAATCGTTCTAAATGAAACGTTTCTAGACCCTATCAATATGTTTTTAAAAGCATTGCCAGAAACAACAAGTTGAACTTCAGTTCAAAGTTAAATTTCTTCGAAACACTAATTTTTGAGCTGTATAAATTAAAATCCATTTCAAATAATTTAGGTAGCAAAAATATATCAATTTAAACATAACAAGAGGTCGAAAGAATTCAACCTTTAAATAAAATGATTGTCCTCAATAGTTATATTCGTAGATAATAAACAACGGCGAACTTACGCGACCCAACTCTTTGCCGCTATCAAGTGATAAAAGTCCAGAAGTTTCGGCATACAATTTTACCTTGACTGTAGGAAGAGGTTGATTAGTTGAAAAATCACCCTGTGTACCCCACCTGAAGTTTGAAAAAATAGGAAAAAATTGTTCTGTTCCTTAACAAAGTATGGTAACTATCATTGATGGTGAACATTGTAAGTCTTTGCACTAAAAAATTTAATCAATGTACATATAGCAAGATTAAAATTAACATGTTCGAGGATGATAAATGACTAAACTAACAGATCAAGCTTGAAACAATGATTATTTTTTTAACCCAGTAAAAAGACGGAATTCGTTAAACCCAGAGCTTAGTAAAGCAACATAGTCGAATAGCAGAAGAATTTACTTACAATTCAATGTCGTGTTTTATCATAGACCAGAGAAAATTTACATTGTTATTAATAACTATGAAAATGTATTTGGTTTCATATATGAACCTACTGCCTGAATAAGACCAACACTTTCTGTACAGTGTTTCCCAAAAATTCACATCTTTTTATTTTATAAATTTAATAATTTAGACCGAAACAGAGACTGAGAGTACCCAATAAATGTTACTTTCACTGTCTAACAAAAACGTATTCAAACTAAGAGTTTTAACTAACTTTGAATGTGTTTCCAAGGTTTCGCTTACCTAGAGCATAACCCTATGAGACAAGTCACTCTATTTCTATCAAAACACTTTCATATTTGAAAGAAAATCAATCATAATTTCTTGTTGTTCATCAAACATCAGTCAATAATTAATCAACCGTGTTCACTAGAGTTATTAAAATTACTTTTCTCCATCTTGTTTCATTTTCATTACTCTTCCTCTCTTAATTCCTTTCATAAAATCTAACACTAATTTCATTTATTTTTTATACAGTACTGTTTTTTTATCCCAAAGGCATAGAATACTTATTTTGTGAAATTGGTTTTTGCCAAAATAAAAACAACGGTAAAATTAATCAACCGACTAATCAAACGCGGAATAACGATATCAACACTTATATTAGTGTTGATTAAAAATTAACATAATCTCTACATAGTATACGGTTTTTCCTATAGTATGACTGATAAAAAGCGCTTAAGGTATCTTATTGGTAGTTTAGAGACTGAAACTCGATCGGTCTTTAATGAGATATGTATATCCGATAAGGATCGCCCTGATTTAAATATCAATATCAGAATACGGATACATCCAGCTGATGAGTCCCGAATATGATGAGGCGCGCACATCAAATTCTACTGCTAGCTATAGAAAATTTATTCTAGATATCTTGTATCATAATGGCTACATTGAGGCAATCCGCATAGGATGCACAAAGACAAAAAATATAAATCGAAATACAGTGAAGAGTAATAACAACAGGATAATCTACAACATGCCGATTTACTCGTAAAAAATCTACTACAACATTACAGTAATGGACTTCGCTGTATGTTACGATTGTGAAAAAGGAACAAGAAAGACAATGTAATACAAGTGTACTTTTTTTTTCAGTGTTCATGGTGATCTAACACTTCTGATGTTTGATCATACTATGAGATTTGTACGCTCATAATTTTCACAAATATAACAATCTGAACATTTACAATGTTGACGCCATAGTTTTATTATACTCGAGTTAATTGAATTAATCCATCTTTATCTTTCAGATGTTTTCGGATCATACACATATGATCTCTAAAGAATACGGTGAGTCAAATTCACCGTAATTTCGTGAACGTTTGTTTTTATATGACAAAATAATAAAAGAAAATAACCAATTTGAATTTTTGTAAATAATGTGAATATAACAAAATAACCAACACGTAAATAGATAATAATCTAGCGATGAGCAAACTACGATTGGGAGTTTCCAACGACTAAGCAAACTGCTAGAGTAAAGAAATATGGTTCCACAAATTCACAACGACTGAAAAGTTTAGGCTTATTTATATACATTTTTACGGACACCAATGTACTTAAAAGGTAAAAGCATAAAGCAAATGACAAGCTAGACAAAATTTGATAGATAACTATGCAAGTTAACCACACAAATATTCGTTGTAGAGAATTGACTAGAATTAAATAGACGAAATCGTTCAAGTGCATGATAAACCACTAAAAAGAAACAAAAAAAAAAGAAATCTCAACAACCATATACCCTTTATTCACAATCAATCAACACAAGGTACACAGTCAGCAATATGCATATTTGCTACTTTCTACAATTAAAATTTCATTCCTATTCATTCACCAGTCTATTTCTACATTACTTTAGTTCTATAATAATACACCTTTTAATCAGCTCAGTTGATCAAATATATATTTCCTTTACATGATTCTCTTTAAACTTGTTTTTTTTTTATAAAATAAATTAAAATATTGTATTTAGATATTTGCCCTTATTTCAAACACACTCTCCGCCTCTATTCACATTCTCACTATAAATAACAATAATGAAAACAAATCTTGGTTTGAGAGTAACAAAAAAAACGATACAGGATGACCTTGAAATATGATTTTCTCTCTGTTTGCTCTGAATAGGGTAAAATATTTCTGGAAAAATAACAGATAATGACAAAAGACAATATTCATAAAGAAAATGTGATAATGGGAATTTAAAATGAAAAAATCAATGAAGGGGAAAACTGAAAGTACATCAAGTATATACATTTCAAGAGGTAAGAAAATATCCTAGATATTGAAAATAATACACAAAGATGAATTAGGCAAAGAAACATTTACCCTTCTCCAGTTAAAAAACAATCTACAAAACTACGTTGATCAATAGTTTAAGGATATTTATAATTTAATTACGACACTAAATTTCAAAAAAGTCAAAGTAACAATGTTATTACTAAAAAAGTCCTTGCTGTATATGATTAGATAACAATTTTAAGATATATATTATAATATAATAAATGAATTTGACTACTGCTTATTTAAATATATACATTTATCTATAATGTACTGAAACTGGTTAATCAGTAATTACGGTTAATGAGGAGAATATCCCCTGTAAACTGTAATAAATCTCTACAAAATCATTTTAGTACAATAATTAATTGTTAAGGACGCAAATAGTTATTTATTCAGTGCTGACAACTTACACTGGTTTCCCAGCTTCAGCTAAATCAGTTTGTAATCGAGCACCACCTTCGACCTCCATGGTACAATAAACCATTTTATTGGTTGGTAGATGTTTCAGATTTTTCACTTGACCAACAACAATCTGTTAGTAATCGAAATAACAAAAAATGACCAGATTAAAAAGATATTAACAGGAAAAAGTAACACTGTTGCAATAAAAACTCAAATTTATATTACATTAAGTGGCCCCGGAAAAAAGACTATTGATCAGCTACTGTTATTTATGAATATAGATTATAGGTTTCCTTGAACATGAATAACAGCGGCGAAAGTCTCATTCAAATGATGCATCACTTTATTTGAATCGACCTCGATGTAAATCTATCGGTTTACTTACTCTTATGCGGGAGGTTGTACCGGCTAAACGAAGTGTTCTATTTCTAAACTAATTTTACAGTGTTATTCTGAATGGCTATCAAAAAGTGGTTGAGAAACATTTACCAGCTCGATTATCAAAAACTTAGTCAACTCCTGTCACTTAACCTAACCAGGAGTATCCTGATAATCATCAATAAATGTAAATAAACCGATGCAAATAGAACACAAATCAGGAAATCGTACACAAGCAGAAACATTGATCCAAGATGCCGTATTTATTTCAGTTTGTTTAAAAGTATATTATCAATAAAACTCACACTAAAACATGCCTTGAACCCGAATAAGCGAATTTGTGCCTAGGTTCGCTGCCGAATTAGTCTAAACACTACACAAAAAACGATTTTAAAAGTACACTTTTAAGTACTCAACTATTAGGACTTATATATACATTTGCGTGAAAGTATGGGTGTGTATGTGTTGTAATCCATTCAAGTAACCTAATTTATGTAGCTATATTGTAAGATGAATAGGAAACAAAATTATTATTTTCCACCGAATAAATCATTTGAATAAATTAATAAATAAAGAGATCGATGACATCAACAAGCACAACAGTAGAAATAATAATAATGAAAGCAGAATAAAAAGTAAAAGAAATATGGAGTAAATGTATAGAAATCATTATCATTATTATTATGATTACGACAGTGACTATTATTATTATTACTATCATTATTATTATTACTATAGGTCTGCTGTTACTAATGACGGTGCTGTTTCATTTGTAGTTGAAGAAAGATAATCGTTGAAAACAAAAAAGTTTATTTATGTAACTAGTTTAAAACTGTACATTTATGTACACGCCGACTATGCCACGTTTTCACAATAACAGATGGAAAGAGGTAATTAGAAAGATGAGAAAGGAAGGGAAATGATATCTATTTTAACATAAAGGGTAAACACAAGCGTCTAGAGATAAGGGATGTTAAAGATGAGTTTGAAAAAAAAACCACAATGGTGGTTCGCAATTGAATTGAAATTATCCATATCCTTCAATAACAGTAAAGTGCTTCCCTCTGATAACCAACATCTGCAACGGTACTGCTTTCTCGCAACAAAAGGAAGGAATTAGAAGAGGCCATCCCCCAAAATGTCATACCTGACCTTCCATCTCAAACAGTAAGACCTTTAAAAGTGCAGAGCTAACACATTTAAAACTTCCCATAAAAAGGCTGTGAGCGACCGAACTCAGATAGTTGTCCCTTGGGCTCTGCGGTCACGCTCCCAGATCACTAAGATCATCAATAGTTCAGCTTCCTTTCCAGGTGTCTCAAGAAGAAATATCCTCCCACGGTGTAGGTAGCTTGGAAGTGACAAACAACCTCATAACACCATCATCATGCGAGATCATCTTCCTGATGACAAATCCCTCCCTCACCCTTAATAATTCTCTGACCCCACAACTAACACTTCTTGGATATATTTATCACAATGCGCTACCAATACTAATGAATTGAGATCACGAAATGTTACTCTTAGTCTACTGAAACCACTCTTTAAACTACACGTTGTAGACTTTATTGTTTGAACCTTGTGTCAGATAGGATAACAGGCTTCTTTAGCTAAGAATTTAGAGACTCGCACCATCGGTTTATGCTGCATCTCCAAAATGATCATACAGGATCTAGTACATTCATTCATTTGACCTCACCTTGTCAGTATAAAGAATCGGCACGATTTAGCTTTTGAGTATCTGGAGACCTCACTGTTACTCCCCTTGATCTCTTTAGTGTAGGTATAACATTAAATTCAAAAGTATGACTGGTTTTGTAAGGCTGGATTCCAAAAAACGGTCTCTTGTGCGTTGTCCGACTAAATGGGACAGTAACAACTTGAAAAAGATAGGGATAGATACTATAACCTCTTCTTTTTCTATGCCAACACTCCCAATTATTTCAACTTGAATGAAATTAAGTGTGAACTTTTTATTATTATTATTATTATTATTATTATTATTATTATATTATTATTAACTTTATTCAATATAATATTTTTGATGCAATATAGAATTATCAGGACAAAGTATGTCACCAAGTTTCCGTTTCCCAATTCTTGGTCAACACTGATGATAAATATTGAGTGATCGCCAGTTAGATGTTAACAGTCCAGTAGATCTACATCGAAATAATGTACATTCTTTTCGCTGCATTTTGCCAGCAACCACGATATCTCTGACTGGGCCATTTTAAAATTGTACAACGAGATATTCGACTGTCGATCAAGGGACAACTGTACCGTGCATCAAGTCGTCCTGTTCTACTTTACGGCTGCGAAACGTGACCATTAACAGTAGAAGATACTCGTAAGTTACTAGTATTTGACCATAGACGCCTTGGAAATATTGCTCGCATCTTCTGGGATCATCGGGTAAGTAATAATGAGGTTAAACGTAGGATATTAGGGAATGATGGTAAATTAGTTGGTGAGGTTGTGAATTTTCACCGACCGAGAAGGTTGGGACACGTGCTGCGTATGCCTGAACACCGATTATCACGACTCACAATGCTGACTAGTGTTGGGGATGTTTGGGAGAAATTTAGGGGTGGCCAAACTAAAATGTGGCATCAGTGCTTGAAGTCTGAGCCATGTTGGTAGATGCAGACTACTTAGTTGTGATCCTTGCGACTATCGTAAGCAATGGTTGGAGACTGGGTGACATGGCTCAGAATCGATCACAATGGCGTCGGTGTATGTACTCTCTGTCTCCCCTTAAACTAAGAGATTAAAATCGCTTCATATTTTTCTTTCTACGGACTAATTCTCTCTTCCTGTACTATGTCCTTATATGCAATCTATCTTTTTATATTACCACCATTGAATTAATTACTTCTATGAATTTGGAGTAGATCGCATTGTGCTAATTAGATGCGGCAATTTGGACTGATGTATATATGTGCCTGGTCCTACGTTGTAGCTGACTGACTAACTGAAACAAACCAAACCCCCTGACGTAGTAATAATGGAAGGTGATTTTAATTCTCAAGTAGGTAAACTCAACCAAACATAAAGGCACTTAGGCGGATCTTACTGTGTTGCAGCTAACCGAACAGATAATAGCTGCCGTCTGTTGTAACTCTGCTTAGATAATCTACTATTTCTGGCAGACACCAACTTCAAACATAAGAAGAAACATCATCTGACGTGGAAGCCTCTACAATCGACTCATCGATGGACTTACATATAACAAATTGCCATCGGTTACCGTTGGAGGGGCCAGATAGAAGACTGTCGTTCATTCTGGAGAACATGTTTAGACTCAGATCAGTCGGATTAACTGAGATCTTAGCCAAAAATCTGGGAACTGGCTGATCTCGATTGCTGATCGTCCCAGATTATAAGAAAGAACAAAAATCCTTCTGTGACAATCACAGAGGAATCGGTCTAACTAATATAATGTCTAAAATGATAGTCTCAATAATACTTCGAAATCTAACTAGATCTCATGAAGGCAAAACTAGGTTGGTTGCAGTCCTGGAGGTCAATGTATGGACCAGATATTCAGTCTTTGGCAGGCTGTGGAACAGAGACATACTTTTCGACGTCCGACTAAAGTTATATTCCTTGACTTTAAGAGAGTGTTGTCATGATATTCTGTGTTAGTGTCTATCATTGAAAGACTTACCGATGAAGAACATCAACCATGTACAGGATCACTACTCGAACACTAATGGTCGAGTCAACTTATGGTGAACTGTTGTCAGAATTGGTTACTTCAAGGTGTTCATCAGGGTTGTTCGCTTTCCCCATTTTTATTTAACTTCGTCATAGACATGCTTTTCGAGACAACAGTCTCATCGTCTCATTTTCAAGGGTTGAGCTCCTACAGGAGAGTCATTTTTTGACTTACAATACTCAGATGATAGAGTTTTGTATGATGAATATGGTATTCTGACCGCCTTAGGTAACAAGGCAAGCATGTTTGGGATGCGGTACTCTTCCTCTAAATGTAAAATGTTAATTCATGATTGGCTTGTGATATATACTGAATTAGTGATGGGGGTGAAGCAGTTGAACGTATCAAGCGCTTCACTTATCTTTGGAGTATGATCAGTTCTAATAATCTAGTGGCTGATAAAATCTCAGCATGGATTCAGAAGGCTCGATTGGCTTTTGACAACTTGCATCACTTGTGGTGTAAGCGAGATATCCGTCTGTCGACCATAGGACGTTTACTACGCAGAACTTCGTGCTGTTCTACTTTATGAATGTAAAACATTGTCATTAAGAACAGAGGATATTCGTATGTTACTGGTATTCGACCATAGGTGTCTTTGAAGCATTGCTCGTGTATTTTGGGACCACGGTGTAACCAATGCCTAGGTTAGGAATAAAGTACTAATTAAAGATGAGAAATCGGTTAGGGAGTTAATAAATCTTGATCAAATGAAGTATTTGAGACATCATATATGTCCAACCACCGCCTACCTAGATAGAGGATGTTTTCCGTTGTAGGAGTAGGGTGGAAGAAAAGTAAGGGGGGCCAAACCAAAACATGGCATCATTCCATGAAGTCACTGACAATTTGACTTAGCCATATTAATAGGTGTAGACGATCTGGTAGAGGTCATGTGATTATCGCACACAATGGTTAAAGACTTTGAATGATATGGCTCAAAATCGTTTACAATGGCACAGGTACATCCGTTCTTTGTCTTCTCCAAAATTCTAAGCTTCTGAATTCCCGATAAATTGTTTTGTTTTCATTTTACTAATTTACTTTTTCTCGAATCGTATCTTCGATGTCAAATATTTCCTATTACCAGTGATACTGTGACTACCTATACTATTCTAGGATTTGGCCTGACAATTTCATCTCTCTGCTCTAATGGAACACGGCAACTTGCACTGATGTATTCTACATTGTGACTGACTGATTAATTTCATCTCCTCGTACTAACATGTTAGGCCAAAGAACATTTGTGTCAAGCACTATGTTGATCATGTCTGAATGATTCACTTGATATTAAAATGAACAACAACAAAACTCACCTCAACTGAAAAACTTAATTGAATACCCAATTTGTTCTTGAAGTTCAACTCATTAATTTCATCATTATGTTCTTTATAAGGAAGACTAGGTGAATTTGTACCAGAATTTTGTGAGCGGCTAGCTTTTTTAAATTTTTGAAAGCTACTAGAACCTCTTGCCACTGGAACAGACTCTAATCGAAGCATTAATTCACCAACCATTTTACGTAATTCATCTACATATAAACTTTCCATATTTTTTACAACTAAACGAGGAAATTGACGACTCTAAAATACAAAAACAGAGAGTAGAAAGTACAGACATAATTAATAAAGTAATTGATGCCAATGAAGAAAATATTGAAAATCAACCAAATATAAGAAATATTAGTTTAATTTTTATACTAGTAGCGAGATGCCCAATCGGACAAAGATAAAAACTTCAATAAGTTAATAAGCTATTTAGATTATTTTAAATTTTTATTGATGATTCTGTAGTAAAACTGCACATCATGCTCTATTAAGTGCAGAGTAATCAAACAAACATAGTCTCAGAAAAATTCCTTAAGAATACAACTGTTCACCAATAATCCTTATTCAGATAACAAACCAATTAACAACCAAGTCAGCCAAACTATATATCCAGTTGGGAGTAAGCAAATTTTCTGATGATCAGCACCAAAGAACTACACAAATGAGATATTAGTCACTTGTCAGTTATTAGTCAATACAGTTTAATTCATTCAAATCCGAAATAAAATTACTTAAGCTCCTAGAAAAATTCAGGCTTGAAGTTGATAAAACTGTTCTCACAAGGTGCTCAGTTGACACGTCATTTGGAAATATTAATAAATTATTCATAATATTTAAACAGCCAAGTTAACCGGTATACTTAATTCTCTACTCTAAATGTCTTTTAATCTATCATCAGTGCAACAACTACCAAACAAGTGAATCAGATACCAACGTTAAAAAAAACTTGAATTGTCTACTAAAGACTTCCATTTGATTTGTTAGATTATATCTAGTTATTTAGATGGATCCAATAATCTATAATTTTATCCTCCTAATATTTGTTTTATAATGTAAACAGAGATAGAAACCATACTACGAACAAACAGAATAACATCTGGTATTCTAATTATGAACAATTCGAGGGAAAAAATCAATTTCAATAACACATAATTATGATATGTGATACACGTAGAAAAGAATGAATGAAATACAAAATGGCCAATAATTCTAAACAATGAGAATTACATTTCTAAATTAATGACATAGTAATCATCATAGCAATAAAAAATATAAAGTTCAAAACATCTAACCAACAGTAAACGAATTGTTGATAAATAAAACACTGTGAAACACTTAAATGAATAATCCAAGTATTAGATTAAATTGAATCCTACGGAAATTATTAAGTGTATACAAGACAGAAAATGTATATAAAGCGAAGTTAGTAGATTATTTTAAATAGAATAAAAAGGAATGTATAACCATTATTTAAACACATACACATACAATGCATAGAACAGGAGAAACAAACATGAATTTAGACGAACTTTAAATTGAAAAAAAGTATAAAATCTTTTCCCCTACACTTTGGACAGTTATTAAACGTTAATATAAGAAAGTACATAAACAGACAAATACATCAACTGTCAAAAAATTAGCAATATAGTAGTACACTGAGATGAATGACTATAGAGTAATGGTATCCTAAGAATTGTACCGAATAGTGATGCGTTTTCGCTTGTTTGTTTGTTATTCTGTTCATTGAATTTTCTCTTAGATTCTGTTAAATTATATTCTTTTTAAAATCTAACATGACAAAAAATATATTAGGAGGACATGGTTCTATAGTTGATCAAATGTGACAGTGAAACAGTACACATGAATGTGATTTTCTTTTTTAAAGACAGCTAAATTAAAAGATTAACAAATTCTTTTATCAAATTAGTTAGATGATTTATGAATAATTCAATGAATAATCTCATAAACAGTAAAAATGATAAAAACCAATCATTCTGTTTATAAGCATTAATCTATTCTAATAAAAATTATTATCTTTATCACATACTCTAGACAACTCTTCAACTGCTTGTAACTGTCCATCTAATTCACGACGAACTTGAGCAGCTTGTTCATCAGCATTGTCTAACTATTTAGAAAAAAACATAAACATAATGAAAAAGCAAAAGAAATAAATGATAAAACGACTTGTGCTTTTCAAAAAATAAAAAATAAAATAAAATATCTGATTGAACTACACATTGATTTATGTAAAGAAAAACATTCAGACTTAACGATTTCCCATAGCCTCAATCAATCAAAAAGGAAACTTCAATGAATTATCACAAAAGTATAGGTAAACAGAAATAAAATTTTGAATATTTGATGAATAGTTTGACAAAAATTCGAAAAATATTGAACTTTGACAAAACCAATGAAAGCATCGACAATAAGTAAAAAGTCTTTCATCTTAGGTTTTTACGTGCAAAGCGGTAACTAATGGGAAGGAAAACTTACAAACAATTAATTTCGCTAATTATACTTTAGCACAGGATACAGAGGCCTATACACGAAAATTTCAAAAGGCACTTGAGTACGATCACCAATAGACACACATGAAGCAAACAGTCAGTTAATCAACAGCTTATAAGGCCAAACTAACGGTGTAAAGCTAAAACGAACACCAGGTATTGAATTAACACAATCACTTTCTAAACATTTTGTAGTTAATTTCAATGATTGAGATCATGAGCCGATTGAAGCTAGACCACCATGGGAAACCTAGAAGCAGTGGACGGCCGTTTTGTCCCATTGTGGGACTCCTAATCAGTGCGCATCCACTTAACACCGTTGGGTGCCGGCTCAGTGGTTAAGCGCTCGCGCGCAAGACTGATAGGTCCTGGCTTCGAATCTCGCGAAGCGGGGTCATGTATACGCACCGTGAATATGACTATACAAAATACCTGATACTAATTCTGCTTATTAAAGAAAACAAAAGAACCAAAATCAATTCAAAACAATCTAAATAAGATGATTTTCTAACAATTACGTGGTAGTATTAAAGGAACCCAATTGTATTAGGCCATCAAAAAAGTGGAACGAATAGCAAAAAGTAAGAGATTGATTTTAACAGAAAAGAAGAGTGATCAGCAGTCATTAACTTCACAGGGTATGCTTGTCTCAAGGCAAAAATGGAATAAAGAACCTACAGGTGCTTTTTGACATCCATATTACAAAGCGATATACATGAATTGTCTTAATCTTCTTCGATTAGTAAAAGCAATACCTTTAACTCAATTCTTTACATCTACGATAAATTATTGCTTTGTCGATTCTTGCATTCAACATAACCATTAAGCTTTATTAACGATAAAAACAGATCACGATCACTCTAACTTATGAGTAGTATTTGTTGTACAGTTTTAAACTTTATTCATACTGTTTGTTGAGACAAATGCTCAATGACAATACGTGCGATTTGAAAAGTGTGTTCATCATGGAATAAAAGCAATCAGCCTCAGGACTAAAAAGTTATCCGGTATTCTCATAGTGTCTCACAGCGGCTCATAGTGTCGCTTAAACTTATATCAGCTCGTGATGAAATCCATTTCGAATAGAACAAATTTTTACGAACCATCCATCTAAAGAATAACCATGGATTCACCAGCATAACTAACGCCAAGTGTATTCTTGAAGCCCTGGTGAGATGCTATGGGTATGGAAATTTAACAATGTTGGATATGAAAAAGTTAGCATGGACAATAATATACTATTGATTACCAATATGTCGCAAATTAACTGAATTCGGAAACAAAAATAACTGAATTATAACACAACAGCTGGGAAATCTCTTGTTTTTTGCTATCACTGAAAGTTTATAGTTCGGTCCCGCTTAAAGTAATGAGTTGGTGCTGTTTTCAAGCAACATAACCAAGACCAGACAGTTATCCAGTTCATGATGACAACTATGCCTCAAAACTTGATTTATAACTGTTTCCAAGACCGGAAATTCTTACTGTTTCGCATTAAAAGTGATAAACAATTAAAAAAAAACCGAAAATATTACTTTATTTTGAAATTCTCTTCATTTTAAAATTTGTGTTAGAATGTGGTAAAAGATAAGCAAAGCTGGATACAATTCAGCTACTGAATATAATTGTACGTAATAAACTTTATAAAGTTCTACACTACGGAAAGAAAGAATTATTTGTAGAATGTCTTCTTTAGAGGTTTTTCCTAAGATTAAATTGTACGCTTGCAAATCCCAAACACATACATAGACATTCGTTTACGATACTACATTTCCGAAACAAATAAACTTATCACCTGAGTACACAACGACAAAATAAGATATCTGACAAAAAATGAAAAATAAACAGTCTATATTTATTCTGAAAAACAATGTCTTTTTACTAAAATGATATGATGAATTATGTTTGCATAAACCTGTGTTAGAATTTAGAGAGATGTGTGAGTTCTGTTTATTGCTGTAATATATATATATATATATATATATATATATATATATATATATATATATATATATCCTATCTATATATAACGAATAAACGATACATCTTGTTAAACACTTTAGGCGTATAATTTGAAGAGGAAAAGATGGGGAAGGCGAGACAAATGAATAATGACTTCGACAAAAACAACATAAATCGACTGTAGAATTTCTAGTACACAAAAACGTTTTCAATATTGGCTTGATTTTTTAGTGAAAAAACTTACTAACTTATTAGTTTTCCTATTAAGAATTTAAAGAAACGAAGATTCTTAATTATGTGATTCATGAAAAACAGCAAACTAATAGAGAAATAAAGTATTTCAAGTGGAACAATGTAACATAATAACGTGAAACGCCGTACACTAATGCATTTATTCAAAAACTTTAAGTGACCATATACAGGTAAAACAAAAAAACAAAATGCTAAATATATTGTAATAAAAAGGAACAAATTCCATCAACAGATTATGAAATGTTTCAGTCTGAGAAAGAAAATAGAGAAGATGCAGGATTCAGAGTTTTCAAAACGCGTGAAATGGCAATCCAAGGATTTCAAAATGTTTTCTCCTTTTTAGACTTAAAATATTGCATCAGAACTAGTCCATGTTAAGGCCGAACTTGACACAAACGAGTCAAGAAGGTGATAAAGGAGGCTATTGGCTTAGCTCAGAAGTATCGTCAGTCTTGGTGTATGAAAAACTGACGAGAAATAAAATCCGAGATTTCCGTTAAATTATTTTACACTTGTGAGAGAACATGAAGTAATTTTCTTATTAGACTGTCTGGCATTACAAAGAGATATTAACAAAGTGTTACGAAAGACTGTGCAGTTCCAAAAACAATATCCAAGCTGTGAAATCAATACAATTAATTATCCATGAAATCTCTGTATTTTATTCCTAACTTTTAGAATGAAACTCAAACATAGGTAGTTGGTTACCGGATTGTGTAAGCCTTTCCACTGCTTTGAAGATATATATATACTCAAAACTTAATACATTGCGTTAAATTACTAAAATCACTAGATAAAGAGATAACTCACTTGTAGTGCATTGTACAAAATTTGATGTTCATATTTTTTTACTCCTAATGTAGCTTGAAACAACTCATACAACTGTTCCTTAGTCATCACTAATTCAGGTTGAGGAACTTGTAATTTTTGTAAAACCGTAGATGGTCCAGCACCACCACGACATATTTGATCAAACTTTACCATCCAGGCACTGACAATATTTGCTTTATTCAAACCTTCAATTTCTGGTAAAAACTGTACACGGTGTTCACTATTTAATCGAAATACTTCACGAAAATCATGCATTGAACAACCACCGCCACGAACCATACTAGCTACACGATCACTATGTAAAAATCCCTGTTAATGAATTTCAGAAAAGAAAACCATAATAGAAATAAGGATTTTTAGTACAGAATAACATTCATTTAAGTAATAATGAAAGTAGAAATAATTACCCATTAAGTAAACATATAACGTTTTGATGATACAATTAGTTCAGTCAAGCTTCCTTCTTATCAAAAGAAAAGAGAATAATACAGAACTAACAAGATAATTAGTTCCTCTTGTTAAACACACATTAAAAATAATAAGATTAAATAATGAATACAATTAGATCTTATCAAATAATGAGAATAAAGTAAAACTATTTGACTAACTCATGTTGATTTATCATACGACACAGTGAATTCAACACATTTTGAAAAAAATGATCATTTCAAAACAAAATAAATCTTCATTTTCCTCAAAGCTATTTTAAACATCTTATATATCTATATCTAATTACAATCCATAAACAAAATTAAATCAGATCTAAATAGAAATAAGCGATTAATGATAAAGTTAAGGAATGATAAACTACATAAGATTAATAATCTATTTGCAAGTGAACATAAACTGTCGATTCCAGCAAGTCATGAGACTGACAAGAAAAAATTAATCTTCAAATCAACAGTTCAAGTTAATAGAAGTCACATATAGTAAATAAAACTCATCAAATGAAACTACTGATGTACGACTTAAATGAAATGCATACAACGTTGAAGACACCACAAAGATATTTCGTAACACCATTATTGCATAATATTATTCTACTCGAGGTTGAATTATTTACTAACCCCATGTTTATGCACTAGCTTTGAGTCATAGGTAACATATGAGAGCTAATAATAACAAGCTAACGAAACAAAAGTGGGTGCAATAAGTTTCGAAAATCTGTGACTGATTGACTAAAAGCCGACTGCTTTAATCACTAATCCGCAACTTTATAAACAGATTCTTCAGAAGCAATACAACTGAAATGAACGGAATTTCACCAAACAATTGACTGTTATTGATTTACCATACAACAAAACTGTAACAACTGGTTCTCTGTCTGTTACATTCAAGTAGAAACATATACAACGGCGTGAGGTTGAAACACAAATATAGACAATGATATTTTTAGAAATAAAAGGGAAATGAAAAAAAAGAAATGTGACAATGAAGTACATTGTTGAAGATTGGATAGTGCAATATTTTTTCCCAGCATATAAGTGGTACTTTACGAACTACCCGAACCTAATATAAGATTATCATGTTAAACTGATTCATAAAACATATATTTCTTACTATTATATTTAGACTATAAATAGCAATGGTATTCAGGACGGCTATTTCGCTTAATTTTTTACGCGTCAATTGGATTTAGCTGTGTTTCAGTGTTAATCTTTGCACTGACACCCGAGCTCAGTACCTATCATTACGAACGCCAACATTTTATACACCAACCTACTAGGTCTAGATACCCAGTACCTTGTGTCTTTTATTCGATATAATCATAACCTGGATAGATAAAACTAAAACTTCGATTTGTTTCACCTTAAATTCATTAATAATAATGTGACCAATAATTAATTACTTTGTACCATTCTGTTCTCATGAACAGCTCAACCTACAAGTTCAATAGAACAACCATTTCTCAATTCACAATACCAATTTATGCTGTATAGGTAAACGATATTCACACATATAGCTTAGTGACGACGATTATATGAACACCAGCACACGAAGAGATACACTAGAAGAAACTGTTTAAAAGTTATAAGATCAATCTAAAAGTGAGAAGATAAAATAACCCCTTTGTTTAAATGAGTGCATGTGACTGCCCATACAAAAGTTATAATAAATTCCCAAATATAAAGCGGTCCAGGATGCGATTACAATATCCAATTCACTGAAGCTTCCACTACGATCACTTTTTTGATATCATCAAATAAAATTGTGATTCGCTCAGAGTTGAACTTAAGAAACTTGTGGACGAAAAATAAAATCAATTTTTAAAAAATAATCACACTTCTTTTAAAATTTTTTAAGGGAAACTGAACCAAGCCTACATTCTTTGATTAGGGCATCAATGTAGTTCTAACTGTAGTACACAGTTACACTGTCTTTACCGAATTGGTTGGTTGGTCGACTGGCTATTATGTACTGGAAGGCGATAACTCAATACACAAATTGATCAATCTGAAGAAACAAATTAGAAACGAAGCGCTACTTCATTTGCAAATACATGCTTCCGATGAGAAACTTGAATACGGTTAGCTAAATGACGTGACTGAAGGTTAGAGATACTACAAACCGAAAGAATATTTATTAATGATTTGCTTTTAAAAATAAACATCAGTATTTTCTATTTTCAATCTACTGGGAACCAAGTAATGATCGCAGGAGTTTAAATAGCTCAAAATGCTTACCTACTGAATGAGTAGTGGATTTTTGAAGCTTGCATGAATACGAAACACGTGAACCTGTGTGCAATTAATCAACCAATCAAACTGATTGTTGATAAAAATGTATAAATGTAAAATTGAATTGTCATATTGAATACATAATACTCACTTCATAATAACTTTGTATGGCATTTGTAAACGCTTCGTCACCGACAACATCTAATTCCCCACTAAGAAATGCCTGAAAACGTTCTTTAAATGTATTCAATTGTTGCTTAGTTATTTTTAAATAACGACGTATTAAATCAGTCGGTGGTTTGGAATAAAATGGATATGCTATGCAACGCATTACAAAGACATATCTAAAAAAATAATACAAGAGGGAAAATATATTAAAAATAAACAACATAGGAATTAAGCAGTACTACATCAACTTAGAACCAACTCAATTCTGTATTTACTCCATATATATGTGTAAACAAATATATGTATCGAATTTAATGTAGCTGAAAAAAGGTATATGGATTTTGTGAATCCAATTTAAGTAAAAAAACTATCATATATTGCCTTGCTACTTTATTGTGTAAATTCCCTTTTTAAAAAATATACAGTTTGATCTATTTTCTACTCAAATGAAAACATTCAATACCATTGGATGAAATAGTATTTATTTATGACAACAATAAACAAACTGCACATTAAACCATAAAATTTCAAACGGTGAATTCATTTGGATGCGAAGCTGAAAGTCGATCAATTAAAAGAAGAACTCAGTAATACTACTAATACTACTACTAATATTATTATGTGATAAAAGTATTGAATGATAAACTCAATGAGTATTCATGTGCAATTATCTATAAAAAATATGTAGATAAATTGAGATGAGATATCACTTCACTAAGTCACTGATTACTGATCTAAGTCAATTACAAAAGTAAAATAATGCATGGCAGAATCCTGATCTTTTTAGTTTCATGATTACTCCCCTAATTTTCTCATTTTATTTATATATTTTCCGTTTACTTTCATAATCCCTCATTTTTGTTATGTGAAAGGTTGGTGCATTCATTAATACCTGTTTATTAATGTTATTACCATATAATCTTACGAAGATTATAATGAACTGAAAATTTTATTGATAATAACATTATTAGCGAAATTAAACTGGGATTATAATTTGCTGCATAAATTACTTTAATAAATATTCTCATAAATAATAATGATCGATTATCCCACAAGATTCACTTGGCCACCAAACTGATTCTTCTAACTAATTGATTGATTAATCAGAAAACAATCTATGACTGCGAACTTCACTTTCTATAATTCATATAATTTCATATACACATCAAATATCATAGTATAACCTGACTGATACATGGCAAGTAATCTATATTAGCTAATGCACATTAGCTTTGACTGTCCAAAAATAAACAGTAAAAATAAGGAAAACAATTGAGGAAGTCAGGTGATACGTTCGATTATTATTGTTATTATTATTATTATCATTATTAGGATCATTTTTTTCTTAATTATTGATAATAGTAAACAGAATTAAAAAAAGCATGATCAGAAAGACAGAGGAAGGGAAAGAGATAAACAAATAATAACGTATATAATTAAGCAATCCAACTGACAAGAGAAACTTGTTCAAAACAAAACACGAATAAGATCAGGATGTTTCGCTTAGACATTTATATCTTTGAAACATAGTTTTTTGAGCTAATATAAGTAAATAAATTCATGTTGTAGTTAGTAGAATATGATTTAAAAAGGATAATTGGTAATAGTCATAACGTTCAGTATACATAAAACAACATATGGGTAATGTTCACTTTGATTAAGTTTATTTATTTTGCCATATTATTTTGTGATGTATGCGCGGTGACTTGTAAGTCATACACGAATCAAGCTTGTATATCTATTTTTAGCGATCAAGTAGGATATCTAAACAAATTGTCATTCACGACTTAGTACTTTTGATACGATTAGAATATTATATATGAATTGTAACGTGGTGAAATCCAGTAGACGTGATTTGTCCTCTTTTTGTACCCGTCAAAAGCATATAAAGGGTTCAACTATGGGTTTACGATTTCAAAAGAGATACTATATGTATAAAGTATAACTGACATATTTAAAAAAAACCAAACATTTGAAAGGTTAAAAATACCATAAAAAAAATATAATCATACAACACCGATTTACCACAACAGAAGGTACGACACGACAGAGATGAAAACTTCTTTTTGATCCACATCTGTATATATAAACATCATTGTTTTTCTTTTCAGTAAGTTACAATTGAACAGATACTTACAATTGTAGAGCTTTACGTCTTTCTTGTTCTTCACGTTCAAGCTTTTCTTGTTCTAACGCTGCTGGATCTCTTAGAATAACAACAGGTTGATTAATCACAGTGCCTAAATCTTGACTCTGTGATACTAATGATGGATTTCGACTTTGGTGCTTTTCTTGATGAGATTCTGTAGATTCTGCATTAGGAGCACTATTTGTACTATTCACACTGTAGGAACTACTTCCATGTGTTTCACGACCATATCGTTCCATAGTACTATGTTTCAAAACTTTGATTGTGATTGCTGTTGTGGCGAATGAGTGTTTAAACTCATAGAGGACATAGATATTTCATCATCTTCTAGCATACTGCTATAAGTTTGATGTTGAGACTCTTGACTGAGAGAAAAAAATAAAGAAAGATATTAAGTATCTGAAGTCTTGAAACTTCAAATACAATCTATCAATCGAACAAATGTTAAGACCAATTGATTCTATAACAAGTAAAGAACTACCATAAACACGTAGATATATTATATCATCAGGTTCTTGAATATTTCCTTTTTAGAAATAAAAGCCCTGTAAAATTAAAAAGCTTCATTTAAGAAATTTTAATACTGACACAGTCAATCCCCAAATCTGTAGAAAACTAGATAATATCAGATAATTAACCAGCTCTAATCGAGTTGTTTTCAAGACACACGATTAAAAGTGTTGGGGTGATCCGGCAAATTTCTCGCAAAAGACAAGCAAGGATCAGGAAGCACTAAGAAGCGTTTCCTCCAATCAGCGTTCATTTGATGTTTTAGCCAAAAATATCAAGGAAGTGAAACGTCACATGTAGTGGTTCTGATTGACATTCCAGAATCTTCGAGCAACCCAAGGACATTTAAAAATATTATAAAAACCCTATATTTTCTGTGTTAAAATGAACCTTGGAGTAAAGTACCTCTCGCATACTTTGCATCTTCTCTCTCGTTATTCAGTCGCTGTATAGTTCTAGCTTGGGGGTTACAGAATAGCTTAGGAAGCGAATATAGCGTTCAATTTGCAAGACTTATCAAAAGTAACAAAAACACAGGATTGGATTGATTCATGAAGAATATGTAGTAGTAGAGTTCAGTAGTATTAGTTGTCTTGTTTCGCGCCTCGGACTGTAAAGCCAACACACAGTCCTCATACTTAATATCAATAATCTAATCAAGTAAAGGATGGGAATTAATATTTTGGAACTTACTACACGCTTTAAGCTGAATGATCTCTGATAAGTAACTGAAACTGCAAGCTTTCGATAACCGATCTAGCTAGTGGATATTTCTTAATAGTTTTAAGTATATATAGATTCCCATTTTATTCAATAATATGTGACGTTAAGATTTCAAACCACAATTCACAAGATCTAGTTATGAAAAAACAAATATGTATTAGAATCTAAACACCCGACCGTTGTTGCTACCTTGACGTGGTGGTCGGGCTTGCCTATCGTGATGAAGCAACCGAGCTATACTGGCTGGAACAACCGTTCCTCAAGGTCCTACCATGTCAGACAGGTCGGTTGAAGAGCGGTAAGACTAAAAGCAACAAACCCAAGGTCCGAAGGCGAAGTCGTACTGCTGACTGTACAGAGGTGTGACAGCAGTAAGGTGTTTCCTTCAGACAACCAGCATGACAGCGATGCTGCCTTCCCACAAGGAGGGGTGGGGTTAGAAAAGGTCGACCCTAAAAATGCACACCTCACCTTACCTCACGGATTTCCGTCTCCGGCGGTAAGGCCCTTTGAAGAACGGAGCTAACACGTCACAAACCTCCCACGAAAAGGCCGTGCGCGACCGGTGTTATGACCTTGGATGTCTGACTTTTCTATCACACGACCTATCGACCAATCCGAATACGACTTATACGAATCTTCACACTAGGCCAACCAATGACGTTCAACCGGTGTGGGCAGTTTAGCGTCCTTATTGGTCCTATGTCCTACGAGCCCTTCCACTTGAGTCCAGAACAAGATACCAGCTTCTGAATCAGAGCAGATCATTTATTTCAGACATACTTGGTTTATATATCAATCAGACAAACCGCAACGTACCATAAAATAGGAAATAATATTTGTACACAAATAAGCCAAAAAGTGGCTGTGAATGTGGGAGGCATTAGTTAATAAACTGAACATAACTTAAGAACCGTAAACCGTACAATAATAAATTATAGGTCAAAATAAAGCTTTTAATAAGAGGAATATAAATATGCATAATGTAATTGTTGAATAGTTATACAATAAGAATATTTATAGAATATTAGTCCATTAATAGTCCTTGGAAGTTACCTGTAATTTAATCTTCACTAGGATATAACAACCGGCCTCAAGCAGTTGTCCCTTGGGCACTGCGGTCACGCTCTCAGGTCACTGAGACCGCCTCTAATCCAATTTCCTTTTCAGGTACCTCCAGAAGAACCCTTCCACGGTGTGGGCAACCGGGAAGTGATAACCGCCCTCATACCTCTAACAGCACTCAAGACCACTGTATTCATAATCAACCTTCCTCTTCAATTCCTATTATTCCTCCTACATCGACTTTCAACCCTAAACTTCCTCCTTCGGCTTCCTCCTCAAGTGTCACCATAGCCAACGATTCTAGTGCGCAAAACACTGTCCCAGGTCTACTGAAACCTCGCTCCAAACTACACATTGGAGCCTTCAACGTACGCACCCTATGTCAAATCGGTCAGCAGGCTTCCTTGGCTAAAACCCTAGAGTCTCTTTCCATTGATGTATGCTGTGTCTCCGAAACACGCATACAGGATTCCAGTGTGGTCATTCACTTGACCTCACCTCGGCAAAACGGAGAGCCAACGAGATACACCCTTCGTGTGGCTGGTGACCCGATGGCCAGTTCTCGTGGACTGGCAGGTGTAGGCATAGCACTAAGCATGAGGGCCGAACAAGCACTGCTAGAGTGGATCCCCGTCAACAGTCGTCTATGTGCTGTTCGGCTAAACGGCTCCGTAAGAACTCGGAAGGATAGGGACACACGTCGTTGCCTTTTTGTCGTTTCTGCCTACGCTCCCACTGACTGCAGCTCAGATGAAGTGAAAGATGAATTTTACAGAAAGCTTTCCGAACTTCTTCAGAAAGCTAAACGCTCAGACATAGTACTCGTAGGGGTGACTTTAATGCTCAGATAGGTAGTTTAAACCAAACAGAAAGGCATTTAGGTGGATATTTTAGTATTCCGGCACAGCGAACAGATAATGGTGATCGTCTGCTGCAGCTATGCTCAGACAATCGTTTATTTTTAGCAAACACAAATTTTAAGCATAAGGAGAGACATCGTCTAACATGGCGACCCCCTACACCAAACCAACGATGGACTCAAATAGACCATATTGCCATCAGTCATCGTTGGAGAGGGTCGGTAGAAGATTGTCGCTCATTCTGGAGTACCTGCTTGGACTCCGACCATGCCCTAATACGGGCACGCATCTGCTTGCGCCTCACCGGACGCAAAAAAGCCACATTAAAAAGACCCATTAGAACTGAGTTGAGTAACGAGAAAACCAAAAGTAGGTTCCAGGAACAACTGAGGTCACACTTAGGTAGTTGTGAAGACGAGGCTGACCCAGATGTTGCTTGGAAGGCATACAAGCAGCTGTGGAAACAGCAGTGACATCTATTAGTGACTTAAACCACAGAGTTACAAAGAACCAGTGGATTTCTTCAAGGTCTGTCACACTGATGGATTCTCGCAAACTCGTCCCATCAGGTTCTGAACATGATGAAGAGCGACAACAAATCAGATCTAGGTTAAGAAAAAGTCTAAGGAACGACCGTGAGCAGTGGTGGGCAACGAAAGCAAAAGAGATGGAAAAGGCGGCGACTATAGGGAACACAAGACAGCTTTACAGACTAATAAAAGAAACTGGAATTAATAAGTCAAGTGTAAGTGAGATTATTTCGGAAAAAGATGATACTCTCATCTGCTCCCAGTCCAGACGTTTAGAACGATGGGCGGAACATTTTAGAGAACAGTTCAGCTGGCCTTCAGCTACTCTACAACTACCCTCCATTCCCAGACAGTGTGAATGGAACATTGAAGTAGGTCCCCCAACTCTTGCTGAAGTTCAAAAGGCTATAGTTAATCTGAAACGAGGAAGGGCAGCTGGTCCAGATGGACTGGCTCCAGAAGTCTTTAAGGATGGTGGTCCAATTTTAGCGACTAGGTTGACTAATATTTTAGCTAAAATCTGGGAGTTAGACGTTATCCCATCTGACTGGTCGCAATCACTTATCGTCCCAATATATAAGAAAGGGTCAAAATCATCCTGTGACAACCACAGAGGGATTAGTTTAACTAATATAGTATCTAAAATACTGGCCTCGATAATTATCAGACGCCTAACTAAGACTCGTGAACTGCAAACACGAGAGAACCAAGCTGGCTTTAGACCTGGTCGTGGCTGCATCGACCACATATTCACCATTCGTCAGGTTCTAGAACACAGGCATACTTATCGGCGTCCGACAATGGTGGTCTTTCTTGACTTAAAAGCAGCATTTGACTCTGTAGACCGCGAGATTCTGTGGCAGTGTCTGTCATTGAAAGGCGTACCTCAGAAGTACATAAACCTTGTGAAGGCTCTTTACTCGAACACTACTAGTCGAGTCAGAGCTTATGGCGAACTGTCATCTACCTTTGCAACCTCAAGTGGTGTCCGTCAAGGCTGTCCACTTTCTCCATTTTTGTTTAACTTCATCATAGACCTACTGATGGAAATAACACTCTCGTCGACTGAATTCTCGGGTATTGATCTCCTTCCAGGAGGTCCACTTATCGACTTAGAATACGCAGATGACATAGTCCTGTTTGGTGAAGACGCTGACAAAATGCAGAGTCTTCTGGTAGCACTAAGCAACAATGCCAGAATGTTTGGGATGCGCTTCTCTCCCTCTAAATGCAAGTTGTTGCTTCAGGACTGGTCTGCGTCAACACCTGAACTAAGGATAGGGAGTGAAGTAGTCGAACGCGTTGACAACTTCACTTATCTTGGAAGTCTGATCAGCCCTAATGGGTTGGTGTCTGACGAAATCTCAGCACGGATTCGAAAAGCTCGTTTGGCTTTTGCCAACTTACGTCACCTTTGGCGGAGGCGAGATATCCGTCTATCAATAAAAGGACGAGTATACTGCGCGGCAGTCCGTTCTGTTTTAATTTACGGCAGCGAAACATGGCCATTAAGAGTAGAAGACACTCGTAAGCTACTAGTATTTGACCACAGATGCCTTAGAAATATTGCTGGCATCTGCTGGGATCACCGGGTAAGTAATAGTGAGGTTAGACGCAGGGTATTAGGGAATGATGGTAAATCAGTTGATGAGGTTATGAATCTTCATCGACTGAGATGGTTGGGCCACGTGTTACGTATGCCTGAACACCGATTACCACGACGTGCAATGCTAACCGGTGTTCGGGATGGTTGGAAGAAAGTTAGGGGCGGCCAAACCAAAACGTGGCATCAGTGCTTGAAGTCACTAACTTCTAGTCTGAGCCATGTTGGTAGATGCAGACTACTTGGTTGGGGTCCGCGTGACTTTCGTAACCAATGGTTGGAGACTCTTGGTGACATGGCTCAGAATCGATCACAATGGCGTCGGTGTATACACTCTCTGTCTTCCCTTAAACTAAGAGATTAAAATCACTTCATATCTTTCTTTCTACGAACCAATTCTTTCTTCTTGTATTATATCTCTATATGCAATCTTTCTCTTATATATTACCACCTTTGACATAACCACTGCTATGAATCCGGTGTTCATCTTGTTGTGCTGATGCGGTATGGCAACCTGGACCGATGCACATATGTGCCTGGTCCTACGTTGTAGCTGACTGACTGACTGAGAATCTAAACAGTAGGTATGATTTAGATCCCACCAAAGGTGTTGCTTAATTAGCTTTACAAATTTTCATTTACACCATCCAAGTATTCCTATACATCATGAAAAGTGAAAATCTTTAGTTCCATATAATCATTCACACTTATTGCACATATCACTTCTTAGAAAGTGGCGATTCGAGCTACCCACAAAATATTTATTACTTAGACTAAAATAGTCTTCAAAATGTAGAGCAAGTGTTAGTTAAGAACATCGGCGTATCAAAAAATTCATAAATATTCACAATTTTAAAGTAGAATATGAACTTTACGATAGCTATAGCCTAAGTAGATAACAAACTAAGGAAACACCCAGTTATTCAGTCATCATCAAAGTAAAAACTAGCACAAGTGTGCGTTGGGTCAAGTTGCCGTATCACAACATTACGATGATGAGATGAAATTAACAAGATGAATGATGAAAGTCATAATAATGGAAAAGATAAAACATTCAGAGTATGATTCGAAAAGACAATCAAAAGGTATGTATGAGGGTAAGAAATAAACGCATTTACGTCAATGTAGCCGATTCTGAACCATGTTGCTCAACATCTTTAAGCAAGAAGGCGATTATTGTCCGAAACCCAACCAGGGAGTCTGGAGAGACATCCGAGTAACATACTAATCTGCATTCAAAGAAATCAGCAATTCGATTATCAGAAAACTAAAAAAATCAACCACTTCGATGTATCCTCATGTGCTGATTTTATTTAAGAGAGAACTTAGCCAAAATGACGAAAAAGCACATTATTTACAACGGATATTTTCAAATGAGTGATATAACACCTTGGTGTTTAAAATAAATAAGTGTTAACAACAAATTTTAAAAAAGTGCAAAATATCATCTTGTTTTGGAGAAAAGTAAAATGTACACTAAAATAGATCACTATTACAGTAATACTTCAAGTTAAACATTACTAAGTATACATTCAATGACATTGGAGTTTTCTTAGTTCAACTATTAGAAAATTCTAGCTTACGAATCACTACATTGTTACAGTTCCATTGGAACTCGCATATTGTTCTTTCTTGTGCTTGGAACCTAATCTATACTTAATGAATACCCATTGAAATTTATCCAGAAATATGCGAAAACCAATCCTCGTACAAAATACGATGGAGTAGAAAAGAAAACCTGCTACTTACACTTACGTTTCAAAGGTGATGAAATTGCCGGAATAATTAATCACAGACTAAACTCTGCGTTAAAAATGACCTACCCAGCAGCAAAACTTATGACAGTATGGCAAACGAACTGCTCACTTAAACAGACCAAAATCGACAAGTCCTCTTCTTAGTAGTTCCAACTGCATTTACCAATTGACATGTACGTGCCAAAGCACATACATTGGAAGAACTGAGAGAAGAGTGCATGTCCGCATTTCTGAGCACGTCCCAAAAAACTTGAGGCTGCGAGGGACTAAGGCTTTCAACAGCGCAATAGCTCGGTATCTACTTGACACCGGGCACACCGTCGACATTCCGCACACTTTCAAAATTATCAATAGACAAAGACGTACGACCACCCTCCGTTTTGCTGAAGCCATTGCGATCAAAAAACTTAAACCGGACTCATGCATTCAAAAAGAGACTATAATAAACTTATCACCACCCTGGTGATCCTTTTTTTGTGTGTGTGTTTTTGGTTATTTGGGTTATTTTATTCACTTTAAAATATTAATACTCCTCCCCTAATACATAATTCTTAAACCACATTATTATTCACACATTTCCACAACCTGATCCTCTTAAATTATCTTAACTTTTCAAATTCTATTTAATTATTATTACGTAACCGATCTTATGATTATTCAATTCCATTAATCTCTAAAATTATCACATAATTTATGAACTTCACTAAACTATTACACCACCCAACCCGAATTACTCCTTTTGACCTCTGACCTGTTCTAGAATATGTGTATAGTTATTATTGTAATCCAGTTATTTACACTCATCTATGTCAATTGCTTTCACACTATCTCAATGTAAAAATCCTATCACATTTTTGGTTTGTAAACAGCTGACGAGAAACCTCGAAATAATATGAATTCATACTATTCTGCACCAATTTTTGTTCTTGCTTTATTTAAATTCATAAAGGGAACCAATTGTATGAAATTCAGAATTATTTAGTGTCAAATTCATTAAAAAAACAGATGGATATGTTAAAAAATACTATTTATACGGGAAACGAGCGATAAAGCACAATTATTAAGGGGTTTAAAATTAGCTACAAACAATATCTTAAATTATTTATTCCATTAAAATGGGGGAAGAAAAAAACAAACCTGTAACCACTGCGTGAAAATGTTTCATTTGTCCATTGACGAGATGGTCGGCCTTGTTGACTAGAAATTACTTGACCTTTTGATCCTAACGTATAACGTTGTTTAGAATGTGGAGAATGACTACGATCGGTACTATCAATCTGATGGGAAGAAACTGAGTTTTGGCGTCCATATGTAGTGCTAACATCATTAGAAGTAGTACGCAAAGACCTAGGTTGCACACCTCGTTGTCTTCCCCCGACGTTATCTGCTGGTACCCGACTAGTTGTAAGAGCTACACTTGACTGAACTGGAACTTTACTACAAGCAGCAACATTTGACACAGTGGATTTATTTCCATAATTTGTAAATCCACTTACACCTTCCTCTTCTTCACTTGATGAAGAATCGAGCATTATTTAAAAATATAGGGACAGATATGAATCGGAATTCTGAAATAAAAGGAAAACAAAATGGTACACGTAAATAAGAGAAAAGTGTCTAAAGACATTCGCTAATAAGTGAAGCAAAAAAAACACAATCATGTGACAATTGTCTCTGAACAAAATGAGAATTAATTTGTTGATAATATATCTAAAAATGTACTTGACGTAAATGTAGTCGGAAAATATGACCCAAAGTATCGATCATTTTGAAGTTCCACATACTCATAAATTACGCCTCATAGAAACAAAAACAAACCGCTTGACAGGTTAATATTACTGTGTAAATCACAAAAATGAGGCGAGATTTGAAGAAAACTTAGGAATCTACTTAGTCTGTGTCGCTAGTAAATTAACACAAACTTCATTCCCTACTATAGAGACCAAGGGATGCAACAGTTGTTGACAAGTTTAACACAAATTAAAAAAATAAATTGCCTTGACTGTGGCAAATACTAGATCGAAAAATTAAACAATACTTCATCTTACGCAACCATGGACATAGACTGAGAGTTAAATGAGAAAATATGCCATCCTTTATATCAATTTACGCTGAAAACAATAGAGGCGAATTAAGTAAATGTGCGAATTTTAAGCTGAGATGATAATCACTTAAACGAAATTGAGATTAAATTCAAGCAAAATACAGCTATAAAAAAAGACTAATCATGGAGTAGCGAGTTTCAGGGACTGAGTCAAAAATGTATGAATAAAATCCATTGTTATTAGCAGAGGTAACAGGGAAGCATATGGGTAAGTCAGTATTTGATAAATTTAAAATCGTCAGCAGCGTAAAAATAATTTTCTACCGACTTTTAGCGTGACAGCTTGGGACAATACATATTTATGATGCCTCATGAGTTATTTCTGACTGACTGACGTGAAAAAATTGGGAACGATGAAAATATGAACTTTGTGAAGAAGAAACATTTGATTAGTCATTTATATATATCTATTTAGTATACTATCCTGACGGACAAATGAATTACCGGTGACTCAAATCATTTAATGCTCAATAACCTATATAGGAAGACTATGAATATTGTAATTTCTAATAACATACGCTTTGGCATTCAAGAAAGTGTTTGGTTTCATTAGGTAAAGAAGAAAATTAAAACTGAGTGATTAATTGGTCCTTCAATTTTATTATCGTTGAGGCCTATCAGTAAACATGTCAGTTTGATAAATTCAGTTTTGTAACCGGCTATTACGAGGCCACGTTGCATTATTCAGTATAATCAATCAATTAGCAGTCTGGAAAAGTGAGGCAGAATAATGTGGATTCATCATATTTGCAAGCTGCTTACAGCCGTATTTATACTGAAATATGACATTATATTAAGCAATAGGCATAGGTGACTGAAAAATCGGGATGACTATTAGCAGAAATTCCAGTCACCACCGTTTATTATTTAATGTCATATTTTAGTATGAATATAGACATAAACAGTTGGGAGGAAAGCCTTCACATGAAATGAATCTATATTATTCTGCTTCAGTTGTTCTGGCTTTAATCCAAATTCATAAGGGAAACTAAATGCATGAATTTGGTGTTCTTTCGGGTATTTTATTAATCAAACTATTCATGGGAAGCCAACACTTCGATTCATAACGTATACTTAAGCAACCAAGCAAAAGACAACAATGTAGGACTTTTCACAGTAAAGTAGTCATTAGAATCTTTCTACAAACATTGATGCTGTGATTATTCCGATTCCTTGACTGTTTCATCTTCCGTGAGTTAATATGGTGTGGCGACTATGGTAGATCGATATTTGCCAGCTAATTACGACTGACTTCGATTCAAATTCACAGAAAACTGAAATACAAACAACTAACTTAAGAACATCAGTTTAACAAAAGTTACTTCCGACTATCTTCGAAACAATCATATCTCACTAGAATTTCAATCTAAAATCCAAATATCCATTTTAAACATCTATTACCAATAATCTCCGCTCAAATAACAAGTATTATGAAACACATTAAAATTCGGAAATGATAGTACAATTATCGAAAAAGTTGAATTCTGATCTACTTCCTATTTTACATATCTTCATTTTATCTCCTTTATTAGAAAGAGCAAAATGGATATACACATAATTATGCAAAAAAAAATAAAAGAATTTTGTTTGCACTAAAATCCAGCCCTTTTAAATACATTTGACACTACACAATAACACCAATTACTGGATTTTGCTTTCGTTGAAACAAAGATACACAAAAAATCGGACAGTACATACGGTAAATGGAAGATATGCTGATATACCATAAATATAAAAGTTTTATGACAATCAGACATGAAAATTAGCTTGTTTGTAATCCCTATTTTTATACTGAAAACCTAACTTTAATTTACGACACGAGTTTCGATAAAGTGGATATTTTTTATATATAACCATAGGTTTTGATTATGAAGAGAATTACTAGTTTTGACTTCCTTAAACACCTAACACGGACAACTCTTTATCGTCTGTAAATACCAGGCGCCAACTTTCTTCCAGCCGTCTCCAACACTAGTCAGGATTGTGCGTCGTGGTAATGTGTTCAGGCATACGTAACATGTGGCCCATTCCTGAGTTATATCCTGTCTATCAGTTACTATCTCCTACATTCGCAGCCACATTTGGACAAATCTTGTACAAATGTTATTTCCTATTTTATGGTACGATGTGGTCTGTTTAGTTGGTATATAAACTCAGTATGTTTGGAATAAATTATTCATATCGCACAGGCTGAGATCTATGTTCTGAAATTAACAGGCTGGGCTAGACAGGAAGCAGGACCGATAAAAACTCTAGACTGCTCGTATGAGTATTATGCCTTATTGGTCCGGTTGATAAATTAGTGTTAACTAATTGGCGGTATCATTACATTATACATTGATGGGGTACAAACCCACAAGTTATAATAATTGGCGACGGGATGAAAAACAAAGAACCAAAGGCACGAAACTGCAAGTTATAACACTTCTCATCACTGAGTTCAACTCTAATGGGTCGTCTTAATTTGGCTCTTCTGCGTCTAGTGAGGCGCAAGCAAATGCGTGCCCGTATCAGAGCTTGACCAGAGTCTAAATATGTATTCCAGAACGAGCGACAGTCTTCTATCGACCCTCTCCAACGATGACTGATGAAAATATGGTATACTTAAGTCCATCGATGCAAGGGGTCACCATGTAAGACGATGTCTCTCCTTATGCTTAGAATTAGTATCCGCTAAAAATAAACGATTGTCTGAGTACAGTTGCAGCAGATGGTCACCATTATCTGTTCGCTAAGCTGGAATACCGAAATACCCACCTAAATGTCTTTCTGTTTGGTTCAAGCTACCTACTTGAGCATTAAAGTCACCTGCTACTAGTACTATATCTGAGTGTTCAGCTTTATGAAGTTCAGAAAGCTTTATTTAAATCCATTTTTACTTAATCCAGGCTGCAGTCGGTGGGAGCGTAGGCAACAACAGTTCGGATAATTTGAAATCATGAGGAATTATTCAAGAAAATAAATCAGAAATTTTTATGATTGGCACATGCTGCTCAGTAAAAAAACACTGTTGATAATAATCACGAATTTAGCTGAATATCTACATATCTAGATTTATTTCACAATCAATTACGCCCGAATAAATTCAAAGTAACACACTTAACGAGCATATGTTTATTTACTCAGCTTTGAGTCACTGAGTAGCCAATAATACTACTTAAAAATGCCCAAAAAGGAGTGAAGCGAGGTTCCACCCTGGAACTTATTAGATGAAAGCTGTATATATTGCCTCAGCACCACATAAATTTATATGTTTAAGCCTATCCCATGCCGGGACGAGACGGTCGTTTAGCGCTTCCAGATTTTTAACGGTTACCACACCAAGATCAAGTACCCCAAATGCCCTCGTACGGTCGGGAGTGGGGAGAGTCCGCTCTCCCTATCCAAATGCTCTCACATGGACACGCTTATATAGCCGCTGCCAGGGAAGTCCTGTGTTGTTTACGAAATTGACAGGACGAAAAGCGAATGTCCGGAGCCTTAACCGGGTTGGTGGATATGGGAGTCCACATAGGGGATTTGGAAAACCCTAACTTTCAAACCAATAGTGCACATGGGCTCCAGTATCCTACGGGAAAAAATGGCGTATGGACCAATCGTTGGTCACCGGCCACCATGGGACTGCATCTCCTCACGATGCTCCACTGCCTTGTGGATCAGACCTTTGGGTCAAAGGCTCGGGGTGTGGCCCCCAAGAAAAGCACCTGCCTCGGTCTGGGTACCCGGGCAGTATCACAGCCCTCACACGAATCAAATGAGATTCGTGTAGCGCATATGTATCTGATGCCCCCCTGTACCACCATCTATGTGTTCAAATAAATAAATAAATAACTACAATAAGATCAAGTTGTGGTTTAAACTATGGAAATTCTACAATCCTCACAAACCCCCTTATACTAATAATCATATTTGCGTCAAACTTCCGAATAATAATATTGATATCAAAGACAGATACAAATCAGTTATCATTTTAAACATGTTACTACTGAATTAAATGTCGTAGCATCAATTCAATCACACATAATCATCTTTGTTTTCTAATTATCACTATTCATCTATTACGCAACCGGTAAAAACATGATCAACTGAGTCCCATATATAATAAATATAAATGTTCCGGACTAACCTACGCTCTAAAATAAAATACACTAAAACGAGAACTTCACAAATCTAAATGAGAAATATAATTTCAACGGGAAGTTTTCCTCGATATCACTATGAAAGGTCAGGATGACGGACCAGTTGATAGTTACAAAAGCTATAACATACGAGTTCATTCGAGTGTTTAAAATTAAAAGTTCCCTAACCATTTTGTAATATTCCTAAGTGAAATGTTTACAAAAGTTTGATAGATTTCAGGCAAATAAATTTTTACGGGTTTTATTCGGCAATGCACACCTTCAGCAGAGCTACCTTATATCATCGGTT